AAAAAAAAAAAAAAAAGCAAAGAAACACTTTTATACATACAATAAACAATTTTAAACGAGGCAACAGACCGCGAGCGACAACAACAAACGAATTTGGCAATCAGAAGCTACTTTTAGAACTTTAAATTGTATTTATACCGGGAATCAACATCGAGTTCTCTTCTGCAATCTCCTTGTTGTGATACTTAGACAGCTAGGTAGCTGCTCTATGTATTTCACTATGCAAGTAAGAAGAAAAACAAAGAAAAACCAATGCATTCATGGTTTTATTTTTGTGACCATTATATTATCTAGGTTGTGAAATGTCTAAATAAGGTGAAAAACAACAAGTCCCGACAAGCATAAATAAATGTCATTAGTGGTGGTGGTGGTGCTTGACTAACGAGAGAATATAATAATAAAACAGTTAATTTTTAAAATCATTAAGTTAAGTAAGCTCGTGGAAGTAATTGAATTTTTTATGCTCTTAATAAAAATTTAATATGCGACGACAAGTATTGCATAAAAATGTAATATTAACGTATAGAAGATTTTCAACGAACCGAAAATCAATTGCTGCTAATTACAAGTTTGTGTGCGTGCGTGAAGTCTTGATTTGAATTTGACTTGAATTATATTTACACAGCAATATTTTATCTTAATCATGCAAACTTTTGATAATAGATAAACAATATCTAATAGCTTCCACGATGAAAGGGCCGCTTTAATAACATTTATTTAAATTTGCTAAAGGCTTTCGTCACTTAAATCAACGCAGTACATGTTAAGCACAAACTAAGCCTGTTTACCGAACCCTTTCCTTTTTTTTTTTTTTGGAAACAAAAGCCTTTCTATGCAATGTTCTATAATATGTTCATCTAATTTGTTTCGTTAATTAATTAAAAAGTGAAACGATGGTAATTCATTATCAAAACATTGCAAAATTGGCTGAACTTTAATAAACTGAAATTGTCAATTGTTCTAAACATAATTATTAGGAGTGTGAAGAAATTTCTCGTCATATTTGAAACTTTTTAATTAAAAAAAAAAAAATATATATATATATATATATATATATCATGCGAGAAAAGTTTGTTTATTTTATATATGTCCAAATGTCAACGAGAAGTATCTTTTACTCATATTCATTTTCAAAATCACACAATGGATAAATAACTCTGTAGAAGGCATTATTCAATTGTTGGTAGTGCCTTCTAGCAACTGCGTCTCTCACTCTTCAAGCCGAATATGATTTATAGAATATACAGAGAGAACAAGTGCGGTTTAAAGATCTTTCATGAGAGGTCTAATTTTTGTTTATCCCTTTAGAAATTCGAGAGGTAGTGTGGCTTCTTGTCAACATATACCTCATATGTCGTATGGGGTTCAATGCACTTTACGCTAAGATTTAGTAGACAATCACTTTCTCATCCTCCATATATAGATAGTGTATTTTCTTTAATAATCAGCATTGGTTATTTTCCGTAGGCCTGATGATCTAATTAGGGTGGATATCTTCTAATACATTACACTCGGCTGTTTTAAACAAATGAGAGAACCGTGAATGATAGCGTTTTACCGCTAATATAGACGTTTCGCTTTGTCTCTTTATCATGTTTTTTCACTTCGAACATATTATTATATTTCTCCATCCGCCACGACAAGTAAATGAAGTCTGCTTGCAAACGGTGTTCTTTAGCAAAGAATACAGCTCATTAAAGCTCAAAAAAAAAAAAAAAAAAAAACTACGCTGTTAAAGCGTAGCTGGTTAACCGAGTACCGAGCAGTCGAGGTTTTCTTTAGTATCTTCTTATCGTGTAGATAAAATGTGATTTACGATTATGCTGACTGGGAAAATCAAAGGGAAGTTAAATGCCCTTTTTAACGGGATTAGTTGATTCCCCTACACTTGCTGGATATTTTTAGATATTTCTTTAATTCAAACATAATGTTAGATTATTTTTTCTACATTAATCACTTATTAGGCACTTTGGTTAAAATTAATGCAATAAGAAGAATTGAAAATGTTTTGACTAAGTGAGGATGCCGCTGCACTCATTAAGAATGCAGGATATCAATTTGTTTATTATTGATTGAAGGGCGCACATACAAGGATCGAAAGATTTAATTTTCTCGTGTTTTTTTGATAAACAATACTTTAAAAGATTGATTGCATCTTCAGCATATCAAGCCGTATGCTCATATCTTTATTCTACCAGTCGTCATCTTTTTAAATTTAATCCGGTATGTTCAAATGACTGCAGCAGCGTCTGACTTGGCAACTTGACTATTTAGAAATCGAATTTCAAGCAGACACATACATGTCTCTTTCATAAATAACAGATTATCCAATAAATCCAACTCTCCGGCTCAATGTTATTTAGAAAAGATTTCTACTCATCAGTTACCAATTTGAACACCCATTGTTATAACAAAAACCTAAACAACGTAAACAGAGCAGTTCGAGCAAAGCGTTATTTAGTTTAACAGTTTCCTCTTAATGTCATTCAATCTATATCCGAACTGAATGCACTTAAGGAAGACTTTACGTAAAAATTTTCAAAATGTAAAAATGGATCAAATATGATCAACGCATCAGGTAATGTCGCTTTTTCTCACTTCTTATATTTCGTATTCACAACTTCCAAGGAGAGAAGAAATGAAAGGTGATCAAATAAGAGACATATATTATTAATTTTTTTAGTTATTGGTAGTTCATGGCAAATTTGTTTAAAAATGTCATGTAAATGATCGTCTTTGCATTGTTATAAAAACTAGAATATGGAAAACCAATTTCCAAATAGTTTTTCATATATATCTGCAATTATATCATAATATAGGTCTTGAGGTCACTGATTGCTTGGGAAAAAATCCAATAGATTTATATCGCAACAAATTGTTGGTGTCATTAGATGCAAGTGGAGATGCCACCAAAAAAGAGTAATCATGTTTCACGTGAAATATAACGTGAATAGATTCATCATTTTTATGCTCATCTACATAGGATTAGCTTTACATTTGTTTTATCAATACGTTTGCGATGCCCAGAAGGAAGCTTCAGATACCCTACAAACTAGATATATACTTGATCATCATCAAAATCTGAGTAGATTTAAGCATGTCTGTCTGTCCGTCTGTGTAATGTCCGTTCTAAACATTTTCCCATCCGCAAAAATGAATATACCGCCTACAAACTTGCAAATTAATTAAAAATGACTTTTCGATCTATGACGCGTGCACTTTTATGTAAGAAAGACTGCTTTTTGCTTAGTATTCGTAAAGTATTGCTTAGTTTCGTATTTCAAATCCGCCCTTTAATGCAGAGCAACATATTTTTTTTTTTTTTTTTTATATATATGGCCAGCCACTAAAGAGATGACCCCTGTATGTGCAGGCACGATCTTGGTCTGAAAGTGTTGTAGATCGATAAGAATGGAAGGAGGGAATCGTGGTGGTTAGGCATGGTAAGAACGTCCCGTAGTGGCCGAAAACGCGTAGTATGGTTAAAGAATGACGAGTCGCGATAGTCCGTCGTGCGATATACAAGCAAATTCCGGGACAAGTATGTGGGAAAGTTGGGAAAACCTTTTAATCCTGCTGAAGGACTTAATTGTTCGTCAAATCTTTTTTATCTTTGTAGTGCAATTGTCGTGGATGTACCTATACATGCGCACTACACAGCCCACATTATCAATTATCGAAGAAGCTTTCGTCGCCCATGACCACCTGAGCCTTTCGCTGTATGCGGTCGACCGATATGTCCTCGAACACTATTCGTATTCTCATGCACGGCACATTAACGGTTCCATATTCTTCCTCATTTACACTATCATAAGAGGAAGGTTGCCCGTCACTCCTTCTATGCGTTAAAAGACATTATTGCGTTTTGGTGCCGTTAAAGTTCATCCTATTAGCTTGAGCTCGCTCTGTTATTTTTAATTAGATCTCGATTTAATCTGTCATGCAGTCCTACTTGGTCCGCTGGTAAAAGAGAATTAGTGATACAAGGTTTTCTTTCACGCAAAGAAGTTCGTTGATGAACAGCACCAGGAAGAGCGAAGGAGAAAGATGACGATGATGATGAGAAAGATGTCAAATTATTATTATGACTGCTTCTGATATAAATATTGAATGGCACAGATTAGACTTCCATATGCTTCTTGGGCTCTAAAAGGTACATTTGCGACTTATAAAAAAGAAGTAAAATAATTATGGTACTTGGACTCATTTCAAATGGCTTTAAAACGAAAATGTCTACTTTTTGATCAGCCTAAGTTCTAACTCCAACTTAATGTTATGCCACTATATTTGGTTTTTGATGGCAGTGAGATACCGAAACGAATATAACGAGGGGGACACTGGTGCGCAGACTTTCCCTTGGCATTCGATAAAGCATTCGCTAATGCACTTTATAAAGTAAAGTTTTTGCGGCGTTAGTGCGTCCTGTTGTTGGGCCGAGCGGCAATCTGATGATGATGGACATAAAAAAGTATATGTCTCTTTGGCCCGATTTTGCAGAAGAAACAGTGATAGATAGAAATCGCACCGATTTAGAAACAAGTATACATCGAGTCGCTGCTAATCTCGATTGCTTACGTCCACATACACATGAACGTTATAAATGAAATAAGAAATTTAACATATCCTATTCTGGCGAGTACAAAGAGTAGGTGGGAACCGCGATATTCATATGTTGTTTATCTATATGCTAATATGTATGCATATATATATATATATATATATATATATATATATATATGTATAGATGTATGTATGTAAATATATCTGTGTAGGCTGTTTACAAAACTTTTTTCCCATTTGTACCAAGCGAGTCAATACTTAATGATTATTTAGTTTGTGTATGTATGGCGAGAGTGGCTTTTGTTTTTTCAATGTAGACAACCGTTGTTTAGTTTACAGAAAACTTTCAAAGCTTGAACTTGAAATTTTCATTTGTAGCCGTATGAGAAACTTTGCATAATTCATAATAAATTCAATTAATAATTACAATTAATTGCATATATTTTTCTCTCTCTTTTTCTTTTACAGCTTAATTTAGAAGCAAACGCAACGCGAATTCATCAAATTAAATAAGTGAGAAAGAGCGAGCGAACGGCAGAGAAAGAGAGAAAGAGAGAGAGAGAAAGAAAAACAAATAGAAAATCGCGTAACACTTTTCAAACGTATTTTCGGATGAAGTAATTTTGGATATTTAGAAAATTGTTTTTTTTTTTTATTTTTTTTATTTTTATTTATTTATTGGTAAGAAAATTATAATTAAGGAACGCAAGCAACAAAAAAAAAAAAAAAAACAATAAAGTATTTGTTGAAGAAACGCTTTCGTGCTCTCTATACGTACATGTTTTGCCGATAAAATACGTTCCATAACTTTTGGTTTTGTCTTCATTAATAACGTCATTTGGTGCTCAACTTGGATTATAAACGTTCAGTACCCGTTTAGGAGAACGTCATTATTATTGTTATTCGATGCGATTTTGTTAAATAAATTGACGCTTAATTAGAGCAACAACAAAAAAAATAAAAAAATTAAAAAAAAAAAGGAAAAAAAACAAAAACAAAAACAAAAAAATTTTTGCAACAACCAAAGTAAGGCTGATTACTTAACGCGTTTGTCTTAAAATTTCAAGCGGTGGAGAAACAAAATCAACAAAAAAAATAAAATAAAATAAAAAAAAAAAAAAAACACATATTTCAACAATCTATATGTGACGTCATCATCGCTAACACATCAACGATACGAAAACAATACAACAGCACTATTAGTTAGCTCTTATAAAGAATAGTTGAGCGAAGAGGTAGAGGGTGAAATTAACGGAAAAACGCGATCGCGATAAAGAAGGAGGTGTGTGGCGTGCGACTGTGTGTGCGTGTTTTTAGCACAACATCAATATGCTGGATGATGATAATAATGATTTGGTGGCTGCGGCATCAGAAATACAACGTGGTAAGTATTATTCGTTAACAAAACAGAGGAAAGACAATAAGACACACATGCGCACATATACTCTTATAAACAAACAAATTCATTTGAATTCCAACTCTTGTTCATTTTATATCATCGGCACATTCGAGCGTTGTTGAACAATAATTTTATGTACACATGTACACGCAATTGTCGTTGCTGTCGCATATTGAAAAAGTTTTTCAATTGCAAATTTCGTCTTCACATTTCGTTCGGTGCTTTGAGTTCTGTGCTCTGTGGTTTCATTGACGCAACAGTTATTCTTCTGCAAGTTTCATTTATTTCCTTTTCTCTTTCACATTTCGCAATTGTAATCTTGCCGTATACCATAATAGGGAACAATGACATTGTGATTCCGTAGGTAACGCCAAGAAAAGCTTTGCGTAATGTTATAAACATATGTACATACATGTAAAGAATTTTGCTTTGTGTAGAGAAGGTCTTGATTTTGTATAATTAATTCCCGTCGCCTATGCTCCATTTCTCATTTACATACATATATGAAAATGTAAATTTCTGTGAAAACACGTACGGTTATCATAAGAAATGTTATACTTATAGTTAGAAGACGTACATCATTACACTTGAGCGCGTCTTCAATATCCATCATGTTAAAGCACACACAGTTCATATCTTAAAATAAAACTATTATGTCATATTAAATGTCATTCGGTTGGTGGCAGTCATCTAAAAGACCTTTCTATCTAATACATATTTTTATTATATATTTAGGCAGAGAAATAGATTCTAAAAGTAAAGTCATAAAGCGCGAACACATAAGCCTATCGGCTGTATTGAAAAACTCTACCGCTTTTGAGATTTGAATCCACGACCGTTGAGTTGTTAATCGGGCGGATAAGATCGTTATTGGCCCTATGACTATGACTGCATTGGTTCTTTAAGAAATTCGATGGCTAAACTCATATCCCTTGATTTTGCTCCAACCGTCTGATTTCTTCTTGGACTAAAGTCGAGTTAAGAAACGCATCTTTTTTAGGAGGAAAAGAAAACAAGTGCATTTTATTAACCGTTGAAGATTTCGGCAAGAAGTCGTCAGAGAGACATAGGCGTGTATCTACCAAAGGGAAATTATTGCGAGCAACTCAATACAAGAATATTTAGAAGACAGACTTACTTTAAAAGGTTTCTAATATGATTTCTTAGCTATTGTCACAAAGAGAAAAACGCGTCTTCTTGATAAGACCACTTCTGGTGGTACGTACAAATATATAAAGAGCGGAGCCGATAGGCAAGCACACACAATTAATGTACTAAGTGTGCCACTTAGACTTCCTATTGCTGTGTATTATAATTTTATTTGGACGACTTTACTTCCCGATAGTCTAAAGCAGGCAGTTACACATACGTAAGAAAGCTATTGGACCTTTAAGGCTTCGACTTTCACAGTAACGAATATGTAAATTGCTGACGTATTTTTTTGATAAAACCATATTTATTTTTTTTCTTACGAAAAATTTTGGTGCAAGCTTGTCATTTCTTTTTAAAAATATTCGATAAAAAATTATCCCATGCACTTGTCAAAAATCTGATATCTCGATCTTGCTAATAAATGGAATCTCCCTTTGGAGCCTATTTTTCCATTTTGTCAATTCTTCTGACTGTTTCCGATCCTTAAACAAGGACCATATTTATTTCATCCAGGATTACAAGTCGACGGAAAACTTCATATTTCAAAGATAGTCGAATACTCGATCGAAACATAGACAAGATGTAGTTTGCGCCACGACAAGCGTTTTGCGCGATAGTACAGCCGGCTACTCCGGCTAGCTCGTCCAACTTGTGTTAACGATGATCAAATACTACCTCTTTCGTTGTTCGTGTCGTCTCATGTCATCAACCACAACGATAGCGATGTTGATTTTGGCGGCCCGTGAACTCTTGTAACCGACATTTTATTCTTGCAGAAGAGAAGAGCAGGCTCTCATAGGGAAGAAACTAGCTCGGGCCTGGTATGAATGACAATCTTTTTCCAAACGAACAACAGTTTTGACTGTGGTAGTTTTTTTCAAAAAAATGAAAGCTCTTAACTTCTACCAGAGTACTCTTAGTTAGATACTCCAAGACTACTCTTGTATACATAATGCTAAACAATCTTTTCATACCCACTTTTTCTTTATTGCACTGTAATATCTTGCTCTACATCAGGTGCTCAGTTAACTTATTTACTTCTACTAATGTTTTCAAGTGAACTCTTTAGCGGAATACAACACGCTCCCCATTTTAAGTAATGCAGCTTGGTATGTGTTTTCCGCCAAACAACAATTTCGCGTCTCTTATACAACTGTTAAAACAAATTAATTTCTGCACAATTCTCCCAATTAATCTTTGTTGTTGCATTTACGTAATCTGTCACGTTAGTAACTGTGTGGGATAAAATGAGTGAAATATGAGAATTCGTATTTTTTTGCAATTAACTTGATTTATATTGAAATCTTAATAGGTTTGATTAACAGATACTTTGGCACATTACCTATAATAAGCTACAAAAGAAATCCCCTTGCACATGTTGTGAAAAATTATCTCATCATACGCTTGTGACATAGGATATATTCAATTCTTATAAACATATGTAACGCCAGGAAGGACTTAATATAAGCTCTGCTGCATACCTATTTGGATCAGAACTTTTTTCTGAATCAATTTATCCTTAATTGTCTGTATTGTATGTTCAAACAACAGGTCACAACTTTTGCAATTTTTTTGGTTAAATTTGGTAAGCTGCCGCAAGAACACTAATTAGACCGAAATATTCTTACGGCAAGTGTCGTCTTTAAACGAAACCCAAAAACAAAAGAACAATTGTCAAAACTCCTTCGATGATAGGCCTGAACACTCCCTAAAGTGGATTTATTGTGCTATACACACACAATCAACATATCTGATTTCTCCAGTATAGTTTAGGCCTCTAGGTTATAAGGATTGTCTAACCATCTGGAAGGCGCCGTTTACGCAAAACTAACCCGTGTGTCATCGGGCCCCGTGAGATTAAACATTCCAGGTAGCCCTCAAAATTCCTCCACAAAAATTGCTGAGTAACAGGACTTCGAATATTGATAAGATGGAGCAATTTTTTGAATTCTCTCCGACATAATCACTCCTACGAAAAGAAAGCCTTTATATAATAGAGAGATATAGATTTTTGATATTTCATGATGAAGATTGAGTCCCGCATCAGGTAAAAGTTCTCATCAAAAGTAAAGTATAAGGCAACAAACGCTAATTTTTAATACTTTAGAGCAATAAAACAAAAAAAAACTGAAGAAAACTGATTTTGCTGAGTTAAGAGACTACATCACTTCGTTGTGGGTCCGCTCTCACATAAAGGGTTCCAGCTAAACTATCTCTTTATCTAGACACAAAGGATAACTTTTATGGAGAAAAGGATTACGTTTATGAAAAAAATAATTGAAGAATTTCAAGCGGTGTGAAGCGGTGTAGTGTAGTCTATTTGATGGATGGTCTTGTGTAACTATGATGCTCGCACTTGTTGAAAATGGTTTGGATCGCTTCACCATTTCGACCACTTCCTATATAACGCTACACAACATCTTTATAATCGTAGGATGGTGTAGGGTATTTGGTAGAGTGCCGCGGCCACGAAACTGTTTTTGCTTGTTTTTGAAAAGTGATATTTCCAGCAAATGCCGTTTTGGCTTGTAATCGATCGTTTTGATTGTTCCAAACGAACACGCGGACGTTGAATGGAGATGAACTTAAGTAAAAGTTACTTTTAAAATAAATGAATCCAAATATCAAATATTTCCAACGCTCACTGCTGAATAATTATGTAAATATTTGCATGAACATGTTTGCTAAAAAATTATATACTGCCAAGCATTTGGTGCGTATTACGCTTACTTTCAAGCGGGACCGAAGAAATTGAAATGAAAATTTATTTCTACATCGAAAAGAAAATTTCATACTCAAGTTTATGTATAAATGTTGTTCATACTGTTTGTGATGCGTATACGTAGATGTAGTCGCAAGCGGACTAACAAACTTAGCATACCGTCCTTACTGAGTATATGCTAGAAAGCGATAAAGGCTTTTAATTAGTTTACTAAACAAAACTTGTTTTTCATTTCGGGAAAATTTATGTAAAAATGCAATATTTGCCAATGCAAAGTTAGACAAACAATTCAAGTTCACTGAAATATTCAGAAAGACTCGAAAAGACACAAATTAACAATTGTAACCTTATTTCGTACCAACGCCACCATCACGACCACTACCGCAAATCGCTACCTCAGAGACCAACTTTTGACATTTGCTTGATAAACATTATATTTTTTTTTTTTTTTTTTGTTTTCTTTTTTTTTCCCACTTTTGTTTTGCTTTTTTATGCAACTGAACATGCAAAATAGTTTTTCGCCATGCCAGCTTAAAGTTAGCAATATTTACCTTAAAGCAAATTTTGGATATCCATCGTTGTAAATACAAAATGTATTTCGCTTGAATTTAATTCATTGCATGTTGTGCAATGCAGAGTATAATGCAAATGTTCATATATGCTATGATGATACACAGACATGATATATTAGTAAAAGCACATTGTTTTTATACCCACCAAGGATTCGACGGAAAAACGCATTAGAGATTTGAGGGACATATGTAGTTTTCTTATGCTGCCCTCCACATTAATCCTTAAGGACGTAGTCGCCTTCAATATTTCATCCTCCGTTTAAACGTGAGAACGAAGATAGGCGGGAAAGGGAATGAAATGAAAAACATGAAATAAAAAATATTAATGAAAATCGAAAAGTTTTCATTTTTTTGAAAAGGGGAAGTCAATCACTATAAAAGTTCACATTCCACCAGTGATATTTTTCTGCTTGTGCATTCATATTTTTTATCAGCAATCAGCTTAAGTTTGTAAATCAATTTTGCTACGATTTTTTCCTAGTTCGTCTGTTGTCACAACGCTGACGGTCACGAAAGTTAGAATACAACGTTCAACTCATTGCGGTGTAAGCAAAAGATTATCACTTGTAATCCATAAACAAACATTGATCTAATGCTTGGTGTTTTACATTATCGGAAAGTTGACCACAAATCGTTAAATATTCTCTATCAAGCCTCCTAATACAAATAAATGGCAATTTTCGTTACAAAGCACGTAACTTTTCATTGCAATTCTTATACCGGTAAGGATATGGAAAGTGGACCAATATGATTCAAATTAACTTTCGTCACAAATATTATACTTGACTGTATCATATAAAAGTTTATATTTTCGCGAAAATATTCGTATATTAAAAGGCGTTCAGAGGACGGATACCATTTTATTCAAGCCTTCCACATCTGTTTAGTGTGCCAAGTCTTTTTCATCGATTTTCCTAAAGAAATATTGAAATTTTCATTTTATATTCATAAACATTTTTTCCAAAACACATCCTCAAATAAGAAGGAGAGGTCATAAAAATTATTCAAGTCAATACGTACTAAAGGGAAATCGTCCTTGCGTCAAGACACGAAAGAGTACAAACTTTCTTTAAAACTAACATATTGAATGAGATGAAGATACATGGACGCATATCAAAAAGACTGACAGGCTGACAAGCCTAAATCAGAGAGTACAAAAAGCAAAATGGAGCTATCCGAAATCATTCGGGTTGTTGCATAGCTTTATTACAAGTCTTATAGGGTATAATGATTTCGTTCGCCTACAAATTAGAAATCCCTTAAGACAGCGCTTCTACTATTAGAAACTCAAACTGAAATGCCTAGGCATCAGTATAAGATTCTGAGCAAACATCTTCGTATATCGTTTACTATTATTCGAAATCTCGCGAATAAATGGCTTAAAAAAGAAAAAGGAGAATTGACAGAAAACTTCTCAGCTTACAGTCACAAAAGTGCTTACGATTCGATGAGGGTCAAGAAAATTTCATCCCAACGCAAAACATCAATATATTTTCATGTTAAATGTAAGCGACGCTAAGGATGTCTTCATACAGATCTGTTCACCATCACTGTCAGACCGTATACAAAATATATATGTTGCCTCCTTCTAATCTACAAAGTATTACAAATGTAATGACAAACAAAAAAACCTTATAATCAGGCAAGGACGACCATTAGATGCCCTGCACCGCTTTCCTTAATACAATCCCAACCAATACCAACAATTATATCTTACCCTGTTTCTACCTAGAAGCATACTTGTTATGGGAGCCATTCAATGGAACATCGCAAAACTATATAAAGCACTATGGCCTACACTTAGCGAAATTAATTTTCTTGTAGAAGATTTTATTTAGTGGATTTTATTCGCTCTCTGGAGCGAAAAATGTACCTAAGTAAAGTGAATATGGCATAGTTAAATTTCTATACCAAATTATTATTATCCCATCATAAAATATTAAAAAAAAATTATTCTCTTTGTGATATCATGGCTTAATTTTCATAAGAATCCTGGTACACTTGATTTTTACGTCAGACTACAAATATGAAGCAACCCGCCCTGTGAACAGCTAAAAGTTTGATAGTTGCTTTTCGTAGAGTGGGAGAGAGAGAGAGAGAGAGAGATTTCAAAAGATCACAACTGTTTATTATGCCGAAATATATTTACTGAGCGATTTTTATCGAGAAATTTTGAATATTGGAATTTTTGAAAAAGCCACTATAGGAGAATATGGGAATTTTTCGAAAAGGTTGTTATAGGGGAAGTGGTTGTAAAAATGGCCCGATCTAGTCCATTTTTAAAGTGTTCACTTTTAGGCTAACACATCAAATTTCGTTTAAATATTTCAAAAATTGTCGCGAATACGTTAAAAAAACATGAAAGGACAGAGGGACAGATGAGTTTGCGTCGATCCAAAAACTGATTTTAAATCCACCGGTATACCATATACCGGTGACTGTCTAAATTTCTTCCGGATGTTACATCCATCCATCCAAACCTAATGTGTCCTTGGCTACAAGTAGCTTATGGTGTATAGAGCAAATTCCTTCGGTATTGGTTTCGTGCACAATGTTGTGATGTCTTTTACTTAATAAGGAAAGTTTTTATTACGATTTTTATTGTTGTTCTGCAAGTAAGTGTTGGCATACAAATGTTATGTAGTAAAATTGTATTTTAGGCTTAGATACATAATTGGGAAAAATTGGAAACAATAAAAAATGATGACTATTTCGAATCAATCCTATTAATAATTTATGTATTGTTTGCTATCATTCTAATAATATCCGCTTCTATATGTATAATGGAAATATTTGGCATTAGATTTCAAAATAACTTTCCTGAGGAGCGATGAACCTTTGGATGCACTGCAATCAATTTTAGCATGATGTTCGTTCTATAACGAATCCGTCATCTTCGAAATCATTTCGAGATTAAGAACAAAGAGTTTTTCTCAACTTTTGAACTTATTGCAGTTTTTATTACTCGCTGTGTCGTCCTGCTTTGCGGCTGCATTGATGCCAAGTACCGCATTTCTCGTAAGATTTCATTTAATATCACGATTCACTATAGAGGTGCTCCGGTTTAAAAGGCTATGAATTCTATGTATTCTAGCAATGAGATTATCGTCGGCTTGAGGTTTTCGTTTTTTTTGTTTATGCCATAGTTTGGCTACAACTCCGAAAAATTGCTTATATAAAATATAGCTGCTGTTATCGAAGCAAGAGATAACCATTATCGATTCTTCCCTCTTAATTACCTTTCTTAGGACTGAACTAATGCATTAAAGGAAAATGTTGAAAAACGACTTTTGTCAAATAGAGTTAATAAGCAGTCAAATGTATCAACCTCCCTTAGTTTGATGTACTCATATTCCTGTCAAACGCAGAGTATGTGTATTAGATTATAATGGAACAACTTGACATAAAATGACAAAAATGCTTATTATATATTATTATGACAAATGTGCAAACATAATGATAAAATTTGATGAAGAAATCCGACAAGGACGTATGGACGTATGTATTCGTCATGCATAGTTAACTGGTTAAACAAGTTCAAGTCTTATATTTTACTTATATGCCACTTACTAATAAAAATTAATTCGAGTTTTCTATGTTGCTTGGCAATTACAATAAGATTCTTAAGCAAACTGTTCTTCGTCGAGTAATTTAAGAGCAAAAATACTTGAATTGAATTTCAGTATTTCAAATGTAACATTGTTCATGCTACTTTTCCCATAACTTGTCCATATTATTGCTTAACTATTTGCGTAATAATAATTTTGATGCAGAAACTCTTATCTATTAACATAAGTATTTTCTGTTCTCGTCATTCGTGGAGTTCAGTTCAAGTTCCCTCAAGATTATCTTTACAACGTTTTGCAGACCTGCAGAATTGCAATCAAGAACGTTTTCACTACACTTGCACTCTATAACGCTTTTACAATTTCAACACTAACCAATGTCCAATTCAGACAATATTACGTCGAATATAATCGGTATACAATAAAGAAACTCTGCATAACATTTGAATTACGGGGAATTATAATTAAAAAAATGTACTTTCTTTTCGTTTCAGATCGTTTGTATTTTGTGGCCTTCAAAAAGAATTTCAAACCGAAGAACACCTTCAATACACATTATTTTAGCATAGACGACGATTTTGTATATGAGAATTTCTATAATGATTTTGGGCCGCTTAATATATGCATGCTGTACCGTTACTGTGAAAAATTAAATGCCAAATTAAGTGCTAAAACACTGGCCAACAAAAGAATTATTCATTACACTTCTATGAATCCGGCTAAACGAGTAAATGCTGCATATTTAATGGGAGCGTATTGCGTAAGTTTACTTTCAATAGGCGAAGGAGACGGTGATCAAATAATAATTAAAATTTTTTTTTTTACTCTTACTTTTCGCTTTACATTACATTAGGTTATTTATTTGAATAGAACACCCGAGGAAGCGTATCGTCCGTTAGCAGGCGGCGACATACCAGCATATACACGCTTTTGTGATGCTTCTTATGGGCCAAGTGGCTACAAAATATCACTTATTGATTGCATACATGCCATATTTAAAGGATTGAAGGCTGGCTTCTTCAATTTCGATGATTTTGATGCCGAAGAATATGAATACTATGAGCGTGTAGAGAATGGCGATTTCAATTGGATTGTACCGCAGAAATTCATCGCATTTTGCGGTCCGCATCAGAAATCAAAAACTTTACCGAACGGATATCCCTGTCATTCGCCCGAAACCTATTTTGAGTATTTTCGCTTAAACCACGTAACAACGGTAATACGTTTAAATGCCAAAGTGTATCATGCCTCTAGTTTTGAAAATGCCGGTTTCGAGCATAAGGATTTATTTTTCATTGATGGTAGTACGCCGAGCGATTTGATATTGAAAAAATTCCTAACAATATGTGAGACAACGAAGGGTGCAATAGCAGTGCATTGTAAAGGTCAGTTAAGACATCTGACTTTAAACAATGCTTTCTACTTAAAAAAGCATTGTTTTTTTTTTTTTTTTTTGTTTTTAATTTGCATTGTTTAGCTGGTCTTGGACGCACTGGTAGCTTAATTGGAGCTTACATAATGAAACATTATAATTTTACCGCATTGGAAGCAATAGCATGGTTGCGCTTATGCCGACCCGGTTCGGTTATTGGTCACCAGCAGCAATGGATGGAAGAGTAAATAATAAAATCTTAAATTAATTTTATTAAATTATTTATATACAATTACAGTAAGCAAGCTATGTTATGGTCAGAAGGAGAACGCATGCGTAAACGTTTGGGCATCGGTATACCTACGCATAGATATGGTATTTATAGCATAGACTATAAAACCTGTTCTTCCTCTATTGCTAGTCAATCGTCTAATATTGAAAATAAAGAATTGCTGAAAAAGGTCAACACAATGCGTTTGCATGAAGTTAACGATACGGATAATATTGATAATCGATTGAAATCCTTCGATGCGTATGAAAATGGCAATAAATCAGCACCACGTCTATTAATGGCAGAAGATAAAGTGGACAGCGGCACCGTAACACCACCGACTAGTGCCAGTGATAATGATGTCACCGAAACGGAAGAAGAATCGACCGCTTCCACTATCAATCATAAATACCATATAGCAAGAAGACGTAAATCTCCCATTTTGTTGGCTAAAAAAGCTACAACAACTAACAGCCTATCTGTACAGCGTACAGATTCGTCAATTTCTAATCAAAGTGGACCGCGTAGAATTTCAGCTGGTTCAGCTGAACAATCTACAAACACACAAATGGAGAAGAAAGTGAGAAAGCCTCCTAACCTATCGCATGAAGTGACGGTGCAAAGGCCTACTATTGCGTCGACGGTGAAAATGACACAAACGGCTATTGAAAGGAGAACTGGTCAAACACAAGGAGATAAACTAAATCAAATTAAAGCCATGCGTCGTCAACATAACTCCAGGCTATCTGCTGGCTCCGGATCTGGGTAAGTCTTATTGGATTTTAAATAGATTAACGTGGTAATAATAAATGTTGTCTTTGTTGAATTATTTGCAGGGAAAATGAGAACACTTTACGTGCACGGGCGCGTTCACAACCGTTTCGCAATAACAACTTGGTAAATGTTTTAACGAATACGGCAGCCGGCACTGAGATGGACGGTAGCGGTAACGGTGGTCTAACTGTTAAATCTCCTGACATTGATTGCCTGCAAACGGCACAAACCACAGTGAACAATCTAATACTCCATAATAATCATCCTAACATCAACAATAAAACATATAATTTGTGTAATATTAATAACAACAACATCAACAACAATAACAATAATAATAACATAATATCGACAATAACACCAACTAGCACACCAACAGCGTTGGCAGTCGACAATACTACTGCTATGACAACACGTGCTCGCAGTCTAGCCATATACAGTAAAAGGTAAGTTGCAATCGCAGAAAAAAAAAAAAGAAAAAAAAATATTTCAGCAATAAAAATGTATCCTCCTCTCTTATTCTTTCCTTCCGTCCTAATTTCCTCTAACCACCACAACGATAAGTAGATTTAAGAGATCCTAACCGTTGTAGCAGTGCCCAAATTGCTTATAAAATTTGTCGTTATACATATTTATTTTATATTAATTTATAAAAATGTGTGGTGTATGTGTGGATTCGATGTATTAAATTTTGGTAATAAATTTCTCATCATTAAAAATTTTCAAAATTTCATAACATGAATCCTATTTTCGTTTCGCTTTTAAATTTATTAAACTTTTAACTCATTTCATGATCGATCGGTTAGTTGATATTTAATTTCGGTTTATTTTTTTCATTTAATTTATGCTGTGCTTGCTCTTTATTTTCTAATTCCTTCTTTTTTTTTTTTTGTGGTTTGCCTTGAAAAAACTAATTGCTTTTACTTAATTAACATTTACTAATTTTGTTGTGGTTTGAGTTTATTTTTGAAATATTTTTTAATAATTCATATATAAATTAATCTAAATAGCTAAGAATGTAATGGAGATTAATTTCTTGAATAAATTTTGAAAATTGTTAATCTGCTAAATGCTGAATTTACTTAAATATCACACAAGAATGCTTATAAAAATTCCATTGTGGAATGTGTTCATTAAATTTCGAAATTTTTCATTTTTCAATTTTAAATTTTCATCACTGATTTAAACGTATTCTTAACACTGACTAAATAAAACTTCAACTCTTAAATACTATATAAATTTTTAGTATTTTGTCTCATGAGGAACCGAACAGAGTCGGACTCGAACTTTATGTGGCCAGTGTGCGTAGACGAATACGTTTAGAGCAAGTCGAAGGTCAAAGCAATCGTGTTCTTTTTTTTTTTATTTTGTTTCTTTGATCATCAAAAATGTTGACACAGCCTTTACTGGGTTTGCGACATCTATGTGACACCCATTATACATGATAATGGGATATAGAATAAGCTGTCGCTGTTTTCTTTAAAAAACTCGTTGCAATTGTTATAAATGACTATCCGTTATCCTATCTTTCTCGGAGCATTTGAATTCCTCGTCAACAAAACATCATGGCATTTGAGGCTGTTGAAAAAGCAGCCTACATTTTCAATGGAAGTGTTGCCGGTGTCAGTCAGGTCATTTGCTATCAACAGACCAAAACAATATTTGGAAACGGCAATGTTTGATGAATACAACGGATGGAATAGGACTTCATATTTAAGCGGGTTCAACTCCGCTTTTGCCGGTTGTTATACTGCTTATCATCTAAAACTACACGCAAGCAATTCTGGCAAAAGCAAACAGCGACAACTTATTCAAAGCTCTAATACTAACTCCCAGAAAGGAAACTAGCCACTAGCCTACATTCTCGCAGGTTTGGAATTACTCAATCAACTGCCATGAGTATTGCCTTCGTCATCAGGGTCAAGCATTTTCTTTAGTCGTCCGCTTACTTTCTGAATACTTTCAAGGCGGTATTTTAGTTTATATAATAGCATAAAAACATTGAATGTGAACTAACAATAATTCAGAGGGATATAGCCAGAAAAATCGCTTTTTACACGGTAGACACATTTCTTAGAAAAACGAGCAAAAAAAATCGTGTAAAATAAAATATGCGACATATGGTAGATTTGGAGATATATTTAAGAAATCGTGTAAGAGTTCATGTATTTGTTCTTGTTGGGAAACCGTGGTATTCCAAAATTGGATAAAGAAAAGACTCATGTAAAGAAAGAATTGGGTGTAAAGCATTTGGCTTATGTGAAATTTGTGGACTCACATCCATGTGTGTTTAGAACTCTGAGTGTATAATAGAAGTAAGAATCAAATGTGTTTTAGTAAAATTTATTTGTCCTTAATTATTGTGAGTATACGAGTTAAACAAATGCAAAATATATATATTTTTTTTTTTGCGTTTGATAGCCAAAAGTATTTGCCGTTTTCAATTGCTGAAATGTTTCAAGGGTATTTTGTTACAACTTGATCGACAGAAACTGGGCAAGTCTTGCTGATTATAACTTTTTTCACTGAGTTCGCATATATCTTGATTTTATATCTGTTACGCGCAGTTTTTTTCATTTTTTCAAACAATATAAAGTTTATTTAATAAAAGGCTTTAAGGCGTTAAATATCTGTGACAATATTTATAAGGCGTTTAGGGAGGAGGCAATGAAAGAATATAATAAGACACAATAAAGCTGTTTGTCCATTTCAGAAAGACTTGATTGTTGACTTTTATATGTTTCCATGTTTAAAATAATCAACCTGGCGGGCATTTGGAATTTTTTTCCAAGGTTCATACGATTCAGAATAGCCACGGCTTAGTTCACTCTCGGCGTGATTAACATTGTGCGACTTTGCAAAAACATTTATGAAAAAAAAGAAATTATAATAAATACAAGGACATGATATAAATTGAAAAATAAGATATGAAAAGAGTTCCTGACTCTATGAAAAGACTTTCCTATCCATTGTCTTCATAAGCCTGGCTCTCGTAAAGAAAAAAAGACATAATATATTCCATTACATTCTTGACCTTTAAACATGAAATTAAAGAGTTGTTTGACTTTTAAATTTTCATTTGAAATTGAAAAGTAAAAATTATTATTATTTCTATTTTCATTTCATCGATGAATACTTTTTAGCTTAATTGAACCCATTTCGAATTTTTTTCGTCGCCATCATATAAAAAGCAATATATTTCAAATAAAGAAAAGACGCACAACTCTAATATGAGACACCAAACCTAACCTCAATAACGCACAACTTTTATTGTCCTTTTTTTTTTCTTTTTCTTTTAACTTACATTTAAATTAATTACTAAATTTTAAGCAAGTTAAATTTCATTGTAAATTTATGCCAAAATCTAATAATAAAAAAAAAACGACACTACTTTTTAATATATTAAATATTTTCTTCTTTTTCTTCTATTGATTTTCTTCTCAGCAGTCTTCCTTGAATATTTTTTTATTTTTTCAATTATTGTGTACAAAACATATTATTTTAAAAAGAAAGTTTTCCTTTTGTTTATGTTACATATATATATTATTTTATATTAAAAATTTTACTTTTATATATATATCTATATATATTTGGTTTTATGTATTTACGTAGACTTTAACAATTTTAAATTATTATTGCATGAATTTTCTCAATAAAAACAAATGAAATTTTTTATATTTTTTTTCTTTCAAAATATATATATATATATATATGGATATATACATGTATCGTATCGTATCATGTATGTATATGTATATATATATATATATATATATATATATTGTTGTATTTATTTGTGTCCTTTATCTTTGTTCTCTGTTCCCCTCACCTTGTATACACACAAAGAAACACAAGTCCCAAACCTAATGACTGATTATATAGATGTGATAATCAAAATAATGCGGATTTTGCAATCAAAGATAATGAGATAAATTTGAATTTCAAAAAAAATCTTAAAAACATTCCATTTAATTTAATTGTGTAACATTAGTTACAAATTTCTTATATTTTAAGATAATTGATGGACAGTATAACGAAAGAAGTTCAATTTTTTTGCTCTTTCGCAATCGGAACAATTGCTTCTTAAAGGTAGAAAATTGGGGAGAATATAGCGGGTGGGTTAATATCTTCGTTTTAGTTTTTCACTAGATTTACCCCCCTTATCAGTCATTTTGATACTTAACAATTCTGCATAAGAAAGCATATATCTTCAGATGTTATATATTAGGTTTTGACGATCTAAGGCAGTATATATATATATATATATATATATATATGTTAGCTCTTTTTTTTTGATACACGATCATTTGACAGGTATATTTCGTGAATCATCACAGCCGCAAAAATAAAGACAGAAAGCTGAAGTTCGGCACTACACATTTCCCGATGAACTAGGAATCTGTAATTAAAAAATGGATGCAATCCGCTCACATACATACTGACAATGTAGAAAATACTGAAACAACTTCGAAAAACAGCAAACATTTTTTCAAATTTTCATCTATAGCTTTCGATCCTGTGAATATATTTTTGAAAAATTGCTACCATTCAAATATTCACTAAACCCACCGTACATGTTCAAGGTAAAAATTGTATGCATGGCTTGTTGAGTCTTGTTAATTCTAATGCACTCGGCGCTAGATTCTATTGTTGTTAACTGGGAATGTGTTAGTTAGCCGGTGGGCACAATATTTGAATTGAACATCCGAATTACAGAATTTCGAAAGTCTCTTTATGGGATCGAAAGTTACATACGAAAATGTGAAAACATTCAACTTCTAATTTAATTGTAGCTGGATAAGGAAAATACTAATGTGCGTTAAAGTAAATGCGAAATATGTTCAAATTAAAAATTTTTCCATTTTGATGGTGGATGCGCCAATAAATTGAGAGAGAAACCATTTTTGCATCGAATATGCAGGTGATTCTGGCAAATACTAGGGTGTTGTTCTCGATGTTGTTATCGAGATTGTTTTAGTTTTTTCTACATTGTAGGTGTCTATGTGAACAGATTGCGAGCGTTCTCCTTTCCAGACAAACCAAAATATTGCAGAAATTGTACGCCAACCAGAGTAGCAATAAGAAGCTTTACACGGACAATGCATTCAAAAAGAAAAAAAATATCCGCATTATTAACCGTCAGTCTTGATACGATATACTTTTCAGATATCTTAGTAGAAATTTGTTAGAAACAGTGAGCGGTAAACAGAGCACCGAAATGCTTTTTTCTATCCCTCAAAGAAACGAAAGAAGAAAACGTACGATAAAATTGTTTTCTAAACTAGTTACCCGAATGCTAAAAATGGGTCATGAGATTAACGCAAATTTTGTTTAAATTAATATGAGCAAGCATTTACATACATACATATGTAAAAACGCCGAATTATGGAAATGGAAGATTAATTATGTAATATTTTGCTTTCTCTTTCTTTTCTTTCTTCTTTTTTATATATATTTTCTTCATATCTCCTTTTTTGTTATATTTCTACCTACGGTGGTGTGTCTCTTGAATGCTTGAACTTCAATAAATATTTAAATCCATAATTAAAATACTAACCATATAATGTATATATGTAAAAAAAAAAATATAAATATATAAACAACAACGACACGGCACAACAAAATATTACATATATATTAAATGAAATCAAAAGAATTGGTTTAATGCATTTGCGCAAAGCAGAAGCTCAACATCAACAGCAAAGCGATACGACTAATGTCACTGCTGCGACAAATAGCATTAACAATAATAATAATAATAATAATAATAATAATAATGACAACAGCAACATCAGATCGAACTTAAACGAGACAATGGTTTGTAAAACGGCAACACCAATAACAGCGCACGATGTAACTGCTCCTACACTGAGTAGCATTAATAAACAGATTAAAACATATAATAATACTTTGATAAGTTCCTCAACCAATGAAAGTAAAATACCGATGGTGCGAGCAACCGCTGCTCTAATCGATTTGAATTCTACTGTGGGCGGTGTAGTTGGCTCAGCAGCCACCATACCTCCGTCACGTAGTTCAAATCGATTAGCAGCTTTGGCGGGAGTACCTATGTCACATCATCATATGACTTTAAGAGGACGGTCGCGTATACGTTATCTTCATCGGTATACCGCGGATGGAGGAACAGCAGCTGCCGCTGCTCCTCCTTGCACGATAACCACAGCCAGATATTATCGTGATGTTTCTGCTCTGCCAACGGCAATGCGCACTACGGATCGTAGTAATGGTGACGATGGTGGTGGTGACACTGGTGGTGGTGGTGGTAACAATCTGACAGCACGCTCCTCTTCTGTTAATTTCGATTTAAATTCAAACAAATTGCCCGCTACATCTACTCAGAGCGTTATAAATGCGGTCAACATTAACAACAACAACAACAACAACAACGTCGCCGATGGCAACAATAGCAATAGCAGTAATTGTAATAGTAGTTCTAAAACAAAATTGAGAGAGTATCGCGATTTAAAAAATTCTATAACAGAAAAAAAGTCGTCCAATCATTCGAATTCCTCCTCCGAAGCCGACACTTTAAAATCCCTCTCGAATAATAATTTAAACACAGATAATAATAATGATTTAATAGAAACAACAACTACAACTACACTGTGTTCTTCTTCACTTTCATACACATCGACATTTTCACCTTGCCCTTCGACGCCAACTTTCTCAACGCCGCCGCCCCTTTTAACAACTCGTCATTTAGATACAAATCGTCTTAGTCGCATCTCGCAGCGAACATCAACAGCAACAGGTATAAGCGGTATACCATGCAGTAGCTCTCACTTCCGGTCCCCAGTTGCTATGAAGCGTAATAAACGTTCGTTGAGTAGCACACGCATCGAAAAAGACAAATGCGATGAGTACAATAATAAATTGTTAAGAAAAACGAACAATAATAACAATAATAATAATAACAACAACAACAGCAGCGGTGGTGGTGGTGGTGTCAATAACAATACCATAAATCCCGATAATATCAAAGCTAATACGGATAACAATAACATCAATAATAATGCCAATAGTTCAACTATCGGTGGCAGCGGTCAGGGTAGCTTTCGTTCACGATATCGTAACACAACAACAACAACACCAACAACAGCAACAAGTCATTTAGAATCAGTATCAGCAACGGCCTCTTCGACATCATCAGCTTCTACATCTGGTATACCCACACCCACCAATCAAGGTTTGCATTTAACACGATCGTCCAAATATTCAAACACAACCGAACGTGAAAATTCTACAAATCCAACGCAGCAACAGCGTTTATCTATGAAGTTACGTAAAAAAATTAGTTACTAGAATTTGTGGTCTAGACCTAGTCATAGGCCACTCAAATTTCAGAAAAGGTAAGAAACTTTAAATCGAAAACGAATATATGTTGTAAGGAAAAAGAAGAATCACTTGAACTCAGTTGTAAAAACCGAAGTCGCTGTCGATATTTGTAAAGTATTTTTATTTTATTTTTTGTTTTTTTTTTTTTGCTTTAAATCTTATTAGACAATTTTTTTTTAACAACTCAGTTGCTTGTTAACAAGATCGTTGCACTAATGCTGAGAGAGTTTGCATTTTAATGTGCAACTGTTGTTTTTTTAATTCTGAGGAAGGCATAATCAAGACTCATGTTTCTTTTAATTATTTTGAACCAGCAAGTAAGCCTGTTCTGAAGAGACGACTCTTCAATTTTAATGCAATCAAGAAGTTTATAATTCTATCGATCCTATTAGCCAAAGGGGTGTCTTACGGAAGCAGAAAATGATTTTCGAAAAGAATTTTGAAAATTTTCCACATACCAGGACTGTTCGAAATATCTCCGACCTAAGTAAGGGAAAAATATTTATTTATTTATTTATTTATTTTTTTTTTTTTTTTTTTGCAACTTTATGGGTGAGTGCAATTTCCCTTTTCGGCACATGTTTGAAAGGAAGACTTTTTCAAAATCCATAAAGTATACGCAACTTTCCACAATGAGACCAAACCAAATCTAAGTGAAACTTTTTCCCTTTTAAGATTTACCAATAGATAATACTTACGCGGAATATTATGGGACGAGCGGTACAGTATGTTAGTTCAATCTGAAATATCTTTACTGATAATACATTTCGAAGGCCAACTTGAAGGCATAGTTGACGGTTAAGTTTGGTGCAAAATACTTATTAATTATTGCCAAAGAAAATAATAACTGAATACAAGTTACGTTAAAGAAGAAGATAACAGTTAAGCATCTAGACCGACCCATTCCATTAGAGCGAATAATTCTTATTAGGGAATTCCCAAGAAATTCCTTAGTCTAACGGCTTTTCTTAACGTTAATCAAATGTAGGTTAAGCCAAGCCGGCCAATACTATATCAACGCTTTCAAATTTTCGTATCGAGCTCTGTGCATGTGAATGTACAAAGTAATAATGTTTAGCAAAACAATGGAAGAACTCCTCACTGTTAGCCCAATGCGAGCTGTCTTATTGCTTAAGCCATCAATTCGCCCGCCTTTAGCTGCGACTGTCTAAGAGCTCTATCCTTTAGGACCAAAATCGGCCATTGACACTAATGATGAATGAATGATGACAGTTCAGTTATAGATTTTCCCAGAGTGAATAGTCCTTGATTAGTGAACCATCTTTTGCCGTAAGCAAGTTGCTTCGCCTTTAATTAATGGCTGTAAAATTCATGTGCTGGCACATAAGCTAGCTCAGCAAACGTTCATCACCAATGCTTCGCATATTTTAACATACGCTCTTGGTTGCAGCGTGACGGGTTGAAATGATAGGTATTCGGAGATGCTACCAACCTTTATATCGACATTCTTTTGCTTTCGAAAGTATTACTTATAACAGGAGCCTTAAAAACGCAAACTTGACACATTCAATTAATCGATAGGATTTTCGAAGTGACAAACATTACATATATTTGCCGATCAATTATTGTTTTTATTGTAAAAGATGTAAAGCTAAATGTATGTACATTAGTTATAAAAAAATTTTGTAGCAGCTTTTAAAACAAAACTTTCTTAAAAAAAGTACAGTGAAACAGTTAAGGAGATGAATTAATTTCTTTCGTGTTCTCGTTTTCTCCGCTTTCATTTATATCTTCGGAAGCTGCAGTTAATTCTTAAAAACCTAAAGATAGATTTCGTTCAAGAGATTTTCATTTGTTAGTTACAAGTATCCATAATGTTTGGGTAAAAAATTCATTCCACCGCGAAAGAAGGATAACTTTTCTAAGGAACAATTAAAGTAATTTTTGATATTTAAGAAATTACTCAAGATTTTGCTTATTAAGTAAGCGAATAATGATGTGGCGCCACATTCAAACATTGATACCATTTCTTAACTAATCAAATAAAGAGTAGAGTGGTAGAGCATTTTTCACTAGAAAATCACTGCCTTTTTGTATATCGCGTACTACTTGCTTCCTCTCTTTGCCCAATTTCGGCATCGCTATCGATTTTTATTATTCAATAGGTTATAGTACACTACGAAGTACCTTGCTACTACCAATAACAAGAGCTCTCAACTTAAAAACATGAATATTCAGCGGCGGACGTAGCGATATTTGTTACAGTTAAAGGAAGGATGAACGACTTGCGTGTGATGTAATTACCCACAAGACTATGCGAAATTTCTTCTTCCGAAGCTTTAAGAACAGCACATCAAGTAGTTCTTGCCTTCAATACTGCAACTAATTTCACTCACTGCCCGCATGAGGCGTCTTCAATTATTGATCTTTCAGTTTAATACCTTTCCGGATATATCTTTAAAATATTGATATGGACTTTTCTACAATTTCTAATTTTCAAACTTCTCTATGCTCTTTGCCCCTAACTTTACCACGATAAATTCTTTCCGACTTGTTCGGTTGGACGGAGCATATGTCTGCTAAACCGTCTTTAATATTAAATAAATTTATAAAATTTCAAAATTAATGGAAAAAACTATATCCTAGATCTCGGTCGCATGAAGTATTCCATTCTCCATGCTTCTTACTTTTTCTACCTTACGTCACTTATGATATAAGGGTCTATTAAGCTGACAGATCCAGAGTAACTTAATATATATCCAGCTTTTATTGCATCGATCGATTCAGAATCACTTTCTGAATTGACCTAGGCTTGTCTGTCCGTCTGTCGGCCTTATTTTCTTGTGTACAGTCTACAGGCCGCAATTTCGAAGGACGAATACTTTTGAAAATGATTTGAATCAACTTGGACCACTTTTTCGACCACTTCCCAATATAGCTTACATCACTTGTGGTATAGGTTTATGAAGCGTGTGCTGATGTATGAGATACCCAGAAGGACTGGAAATAGATCCATCTTTTGTTATGCCAAACGAGTCAGAATCACTTTCTCAATTGATTTAAGCTTGTGCGTCCGCCTTTCCGCCGTGCTCTCTTGTGTTCAATCTACACGCCGCAATTTTCAAGTTATTTTGATGACACTTCGTACTTTGTACACTGTCTTGTCCTAAAGTTCGGATCGAACCACTTTTCTAGCCACCTCCTATATAACGCCTTATTTGAAAAGTCATTATATAAATAACTGTAGAGTTGTGTAGGGTACTTTTTGTTGCGCCGTGGCTTACTCTATTAGTACTCGGATAAGTTTTAAAAGCGTAATAAGGAATGAATGAAAATATTCTTGACAAACTTTAAAGCAACCCTAAAAGAATCGTCTAGAAAATCGCCTAAAAATATGTTAACGATATTTCAAAGAACCCTTAGGCCTAGCTTTTAAAGCATATTTTAAAATGGATTTCTTCGAAGTTATAAGAATCAAAAGAAATTAATTCATGGACCTAAAGAATGCGTAAATATAAAGTCGTCAAGAAGCAATTCATTAAAAATAAAAATATATGTACAAAATTAAAGTATCTATAAAGCTGCTGCGAACATTGTAATTTATGTATTAGTTTGTAATTATAATTTTCACTTGCATATTAATATAATAAACAAAGGAAACTGAAGAGATTTTATTTTAGATTTAAAATCACATTCAAGTGCAAATATTGTTCATCGCATTTATTCATAATGATTACATCGATGTGCACGTAGTTTGTTAAAAATATTAAAATAAGTTTTCATTTTTTTTTTTACACACAAAATTAAGTTCATTCAAGTAAAAAAAAAAAAAAAATGTACCTTAATTCAACCAATTTTGAAATCAAAATATTTTTTAAATACATATTTTATGTGCATTATTAATTATAAAGAAATACAATAAAAACAAAAAAAAAAAAGAAAATTATAAATTAATTTTTTATCAATAATTATATTACGAAGCTTAGCATTGTTATCCTTGGTGTGTAAATTGTGTTAAAACAAATCTATTATTGTTGTTATTGTTGTTCTGTAACATACACGAAATAAGTGCTAACTACAATAGTTTTTAGTTACTGCATACATTTTACATTACACTCACACATATAAAATAAATTGCCTTAAATTGTACAAATTATATAAACTTCTATGTGACTATCACAGAAAAAAAAAAAACAAAACAAAACAAAAATTGAAATAAAGGAAAAAAACAAAAGTTTAGAATTAATTATTGTTTTCTAATGTGTTTTCGTTAATAATTATAAGCGATTACTTATAGATTAATTCATACAATTACAGGTGGATTTGTATAAAAAAAAAATAAAAAAAAAATAAAAAAAACTAAAGAGCATTCAATGCATTGCATGTCCTTGCATGTAAAAGTCATATGTATATACATTACTTGATATAAATTTGTATATTTTACAACCCGGAGCTACACTTTGCAAAAAAAATACTAAGAATTAGTCGACCAAAGAAACCGCGTTATACCGAATTCAGTCTTAATTTATCAGCGAACGGTGCGTACTTGTTCGATACTTGGGGGACATCAGTATTTTTCAGGTAATGCCAGAGAGAGTTATGACCCGTGTAGACGTCCGTTACGAGAAAATATCATGACCACGTAGCTCCAATAGGCAGTAAGCTATGCCGGAAGATTTAATAAATCATTGAGCATGCCACGGTGCTGCATTCTGTTTCTTTATCCTCTTGATATGGCTCCTTGGTATAACACAAAGATGTTTAGAAGCTATTGTAATCCTTTGGTCTCCGCTGCTGGGCAGGCAACCAGCCCCTTCGTTGCATAATACCCGTAGTAATGCGGAAAATCTTGTCAGTTTCGCGATATGCCGCATGAAGAAATCCGATTACAAGCTGCTTTTGGCCGTCGTTGATATTTGCTAATTCACTTAGGATTTTTTTTTTTTTTGCTGCGTGTTTTATCCACGCGCTCTTATTGGGTATGTTTTCGAGGCAAACATTCTGGAAATGTATAAAAATGTCATATTTTACAAAGAATACGAAATATTGACTGCATTAGCGTAGCTTGCTATATACAGTAAGTTATTTGTTTACAACTGGGCTGGTTTGATCTTGGAATTATTCCCGCCTCGCCGTACATCCTTTTACGCCCTATATTACTTGTTTTACAGGGCATACTAAACTTGTGCATGCAATCCTCGGATGCATCTTTCATCAGTTTCTGAATCCATCTAAGTTTGTCTGTCCGTCTGATATCTCTTCGTAGGTTTCCGCCTTTAATCTTAAGATTGCAATTTCGGAGATACACACTAACGTGTTTCGATCTAAGACCTGCGATCCCATTGGGTCGCTACACTTTTGCGGCCATTCCCCATACAACTTTTTACCTTGAACCTTGGATCGTTATATGAGAAAAATCTGCAATTTTACCAATTTGTCGACAAAAATAGACAGGCGTGAAAAATGTGGATCGAATTTGAAAAAAATATTAATTTTGCTAAGTATAGAGTACCAACGTTCATGTTTTGGGTCCGCTCCCGGGAGAAGTATGCCTCTAAATAGAAACAAGTTATAATATCAGTTATTTTTTCACGAAAGGAAAGAAGAATTGTACTAAGCGCTACGGCGTAGGTTATTTAATACGCGGCTATAATGTTCTTACTTGTTTATCTAGAAAATGCTGTGCTCTTATTGCAAATAGTGTAATGTCATACCAAAAATCCTCAACAATATAGATGAGGCCGACATACAACTAAGAGTGCAAACTCTCTCTCTTTCTCTTTAATGATGGAATAAAGCTTTGCAATCTGCGTAATTTTTTTTCTTCTCAACATCTATAAGAGCTCTGTAACACAAACTGGTCCCACTCTTTCGAAGAGTTTTGAAATGTATACAAACTCGACAATTAACATTTACGAAAGAACATAAGCACATTGCACATTCTGCCTTTCCTTCCTTTGGCAACTACCTATCAGGGTCTGAGAAAACCATCGCTATCAAGAAAGGGCCTCCTCTTTTTACGCATAATTACATTAGGATAAATCCTGCAGATGTTCAAAAATGCAATCAGTTTTCCCTTACAAGCATTTAGAAGCAAGTCATTAAAGGATGTCAGAGTCAATTTTTTGATGAAAAATCTGTTGTCTGCCAATCCCGGAAACCTCTAAGAAAAATAATATATACGGATCTTAATTTTTTGAAGTTTCCTAAATATAAACAAATATGACAACTTAGAGGTCCGAAAGATCGAAAATTGGAGAGTTTTCATCTTTTATTGTAGTTTCTGATAAAAAAAGTCTTCTTTCTCACATCGTTTTTCATCCAATTACATTGCTAATCATTCCTTTTCCTAGCCGAGACCTCAACTATCAAGCTTAGCTATTGAGAAAAACGCTCCCATTTTCCAAAAGAATAAGGCACGCTGGGTTATTTCGATTCGTAAATTTTGATTCTCAGTATAGCAAGCTTGAAAAAGATTCTTTATACGACTTTCACTGCGTTTTTCTCGCAACACTCTCTCCTTACCCGTCAAGTTTTATTAATGTACTGGGGAAAACACTGCCATTTTCCAAAAGGATAAGGCATTTTTGAAGGTTCTATTTTTGGCATAGCCGAGTCATTATTACATCTGTTACCTTTTTCTACAAAACTTTGATCTTTTATAAAAATGATAATTGATATGAAATCAAATTATTCTGACAGATGATGAAATACATACGATACGGAAAGACATCAACTGGGATAGTCGTGAAGTAAATATATTAAAATCGTGCTCTTTGGTTGACTAATCCGCAATATTTTACGATTAAATTGTATAGAGTGCAAGTCAAACGTAAAATTCTTTAGGTAATATCGCCGAGGTACACCTTTCAAATAAAGTTACGATAAGTATAGGATGTAAAATGAACTTATCATTAAGTACACGTAATATATTTTTTTGTTTCTTTTGTTATCTTTAATATTAAAATCTTGTATTACCTATTAAGCAATTCAAGAAAGAAATGTACATTAATATGTATGACTTATTAAAAACAAAAGAAAGTAAATAAATACAAACAAAGCAGATAGTAAAACGGACATATATATGAAAATATTTCATATATATCTTTCACTAAAGTAAAATTTTTGGAATCGGAAGTCAGGTAAGTTTTAAACTATTTTTTTAATGTTAACGGTAAATTTTAAATTTCTAAGAATTAAAATGAAATGAAAATCGCTCACCGACATACCCACAATATAAACAGATGTAGTATTAAAAATATTCCCTAGAAACGAATGAAAGCTTTTTCTTAAATCTAACTATAATGATTGGCCAATCGGAGTGACGTGTATTTTGGGGATAGATAGAATGCTGCCACCAAACTAAGTAAGAAAAGCAAAAAAAATTATGGCTGCGCCTAGACCGCCGACCATCTTACTGCACCATTTATCTTAAAGCATTTCCTCATTTACCTTCTTCCTATGTAAAGACATAAAAGACGACTTGTATGGGAATAAAGCGAAAACTTTGAATTGACGCGATCTAACATTATCAGAACTAAATTCTCTTGCCAAACATTGTATTATTCTTTATGTCTTTCTGCCACAATGTCGCCTTGTCGGCTTGAACATTATCGCCATGTAAAGATTTAATTTTCATAAGAACCCTCACATGAGTGGAGTGGGGTACAAAAAATAGACTTACGTGGTCTAAATTTGTTGTGGTTAGTTTTTATATAAAATTGCTATTGCGGATCACTTTTCATCACAAAGCATTAAAAATTATATATACTCTAACTATTTCCCATTTAAAGGCTTCAAGAAAACCCTTCTATATCGTGAATACCAAAAAATTGACCGAGGTAGTCAAAATTATTATAATGTTAAATTATTATCACGGACCAATTTTCAACCCTTTGACCATGTGAAGGCTTGCTTCTCATACAGGACGGCGCACAAAAAATTGCTTCACCCGCTCTACAACAACACTACAGACAAATAGGCTATCTTCGTTGTAATGAAGGGTAAGCTTATACGGTTTGTGTGTAAATATATCACCCTGTACCTCAAGCGGTGTAGGGTATTTAAAACTACTACTATTTTGAGCATGCTTTGACCACACATTTATTTATGCATATGTAAATGTCAAATATGATAATTTACGATTCTTAAAATCAAATTTTCCCTGTGGTTTAATTTTATAAATTGAGAAATTTGGAATACTTGGAAGTGGAAGCCAAAGGACCCGTAAGCTTTATTTGTTCTTGTTCAACGTACAGTACTAAATATATACAACAAAATCTGTCATCCTTTCTGCATTGATTACGATCTGAAACTTTTCCTAGAATGTTATATTAAATCTTAAACAATTCCTAGTAGACAGTTGAAAACTTTAGCTCAGCAAGCTCAGGCCGCCTCTTTTAACAATGTCGTATCGATGCGAGTTGCCGACCTCCAAACGGAGCTCGCAATAATTGTACAACTACTACACGGAACTAGCCGACGATTAACTTTAGATTCTCACCCCGCACCTATATACCTCATGGCATCTTGCTGTGCACTCGTTTATCAACATACGACAGCCTCGTATAAGCCCAGAACTATGGATAAGAGAGAGGGCGCTGGTTTGGAATTTTTAGCTCCTGCCTCTTCGTTAGGTGTTAGAGACCGCTTGCAATCGGCTCTGCGGGTGTTTGCTTTCCGGTCTTTGTCAGCTGCTTTAGCCATGCTGCCCATTATTGCTATTCATTGGATTGATAGTCAAGAATGTAAGAAAACTTGTTACACCAGTCGGAAATATCAATACAGGTACTGAGCACGGACACATTGCATCTATGTTCAATGTTTTCGACATTTATCTTATTGACGTCACAATTGCGTTTAGGCTGCTGATAGGACATTTATATTTGGGTAAAAACATATGAACACGTGAAATTTTAAAGGCAACATAAAAATACGTTCCTTTCTGAACTACCGTCTTTGCAGGCCGAAGGTGAAGAACGTCGTAAATATAGTGCCCGACAATAAAGATTGCCTTAGCAGTGTTCAAGAATCATGATGTATCCTTGAACCAGAACTAGGAATTGTCTTATGGGTAGTGTCGAGGATGCTTACAAATTTCGAAAATTTATGAAATGTTGTTCACAACTGCGAGCATTCAATTTATATATTAATCAAATATCATTTTATTTTTTGTTTTAAGTAAATAGGAAATTATTGTGTTATTAATCTTTGCGGTATACTTCACAACGTGCTTGCCTCATTTTTCTCCTTATGTTGCTTCTAAAATGCCTAATTATCCCTTCCATAGCCGCGGCATTGGCAGTTGTATAATAGCAAATTGTTTTCCCGACAGAGTATTGCATAATTTCCCACATAAAATCAATATCCGCTGGATGTGCATTACCTTCAATAAATTTTGTCAAGTATTCTTCATACCATTGAGACGCATTGCGGCACTGCGGGCACTGTAGACATGATTCGTTTCGAAAGAATTTCATAATGGGTAACATAGCTTCCAAAACATTTGTTCCCTTTTTGATGACAATCACTGCACCGGTACCCTGCGCAGAATTTACCTTCTTGAGAGACTCGGCATCTAAATTTAAATTATCGCAGAGCCTTCCCGGTACAAGCGCGGTAGACGCACCACCAGGTATAACCGCTAAGAGATTATTCCAACCTCCTATAACGCCACCCGCATGCCGGTTAATTAGATAACGCAATGGCACTGCATTTAATTCCTCAACAATACAAGGCCGTTTAACGTGACCAGAAATACAGAATAGTCTAGATCCCCTTATTTCACCATCTTTACCTAAGGAAGAATACCAATCACCACCCCTACGAATGATGGTGGGTACGCACGCTATGGTTGTAGCGTTAAATACCAAGGTGGGCCTTTTATAAAGACCATCTTCAGCTGGATAAGGCGGCTTCCTATGTGGTAGACCTTCTTCACCTTGTAAACACTTTATAAGCGCTGTTTCCTCTCCGACAATATATCGTCCTCCACCCCTTTGTATAAACATGTCAAAACTAAAACAAGCTCCAGCGATTCCTTTTCCTAGTAAACCGGCTGCATAGGCCTCGTTAATAGCCATCTGCATTGTACATGCTTCGTTATAGTATTGACCGCGTATATACAAAATTGCTACACGAGCCCTAATTACATAGCTCAGTATTAAAGCACCTTCAATAATTTTATGCGGTTCATGCCGCATAATTTCACGATCTTTGCATGTACCTGGCTCTCCTTCTGCTCCATTAATTATAAGATATGTCGGGGGCAGCTTATTTTTCATGTTTTCCAATTTCTTAAAAACAGGAAATTTAGCTTTTCCGCGATCTCCTACCTCCGATTTTTTCAATTCCTCTAAAATCCATTCTCGGCCTTTTTCAATAATTTCTTTTATTTTATACCAATCACCTCGACACATTGCGCTTTCTAAGCGCCAATCGTGACGACCATAAAGATTTGTAAATATTCGATCTTGATCTCCCAGCGGCTTATACTTATACTTGGGCGATTTCTCAGCGAATTGCCTTAACTAAATGAAATTTAAGAAAATAATTACGCAAAATCTTCTTACGTACGTACCGATACATTGTCCCACATTTTCAATTTTTTTAAAGAACAATTCCTCCACATATTTTTATGTTTAAGCAGAAAAGACATGCCCATGTAATTCTTGAAAGTAACTCTCAATGCAAAGCAAGAAACCAATAACGAATTGAAAGTTTGAAAGAAAGAAATTTTTCAATTACAAACTTATAACGGAGCAAACTCGATTATTAAATACCCTACACAATTTCATTTAACACAAAATCAAAGCTAAGATCAACCCGACAATATTTCGCCCTTCTTCTGGAAAAGGTGGTAGACTAGAAGATTTTGAGCCATCTGCGCATAAAAGATTCCAACCGTTACTCCCCAGTACTTGGGTCATTGGCCATTTTAGTGTTAAACCTCCATGGATTTTGAAAGACTGCTCTTTTGACATTTCGCTGGCTACGCACATGAAAGAAGATACTCCAAATTACGTTTTCAGGAATCTAATAGCTGAAAAAATCTGGAGAGTAAAAAAAAGAAAAGTACTGGAAAGTACCGGTTGGAGTCTTTTACACACAGACTGGTCAAAATCTTCTGGTCTGCCACGTATTTGTGCTTTGGTAGATGCTTCTCAATCACATATATCATGAAAGTACTTCAACTTTCACAACCGAAGCCAGAGCTATCCTTCACTGACAGTTACTGACAGTTTGTCTGTATTAAATGCTATACGGAATCGTTCGACTTCGAGATGGAGCACAATCAACAAATTAAGGTATATCACTACAACACCTGGCGAGAAAATTAAAATGATATGGGTACCTAGTCATATCGGTTTATTGGGAAATGAACAGGCTGATCGAGCGGCAAAGGATGCTGCTTCTGCTTCTCTAATTATGAATGATGTCATGGAGAAGTTGGATATTCAAAGATACATTGGAAGAAAAGTTGAAGAGAAAATTACAGAAGGAAATTTATAATGCCATCATCAGCACTACTCTTTCATTAACCCTCAATTAACTGCACCTTTATATCCAACCAATGTTGAGAAAGTCAAGATCCAAACACTTTCCTTGGTCATACAATTGCAGCTCACCAATGGGTCTTGAAGAAGTCTTTCTCCCCAAACTGCAATTGTGGACAAAATTCCCACTATAAAGCACAATCTCTGTGACTGCCCTAACTTTACCTTGGCTAGTATAAAGTGCCTAGTAACGCGGGCATTTCTTACTTTGATTAAGAAGGGAACGCCAAGAATAAATCTACTTTTCTAAAGGGACGGTAAGGATAATAGAAGCAAGTTATTTTCATAGGGGGGAAGAGAGGCAATCGGCTCCCAACCCAAATTCCTAAGAGTAAACAGCAAGAATTGCTTTTGAACCGGTTCAATGGAATCTACATAGCACTTACAGGAAGAAGACAACACAACGGAGGCTTACTCGAGTATAAGTCGAACCGAACATGTGCACAACCTTTTCGTGATGTAAGGATCATCAAGCTCTTTGGACGACCACTTTATAAAACCAAGCGCGGACCTAGCTTTGCTTAACGAGAGCTCAACACGCAAGTTAAAACGTAACCTATGGTAAAGTAGAACGCCTAAACCTGTGAACGAATCAACGTCCTCCAACTTGTGCGAATCAATGAAATATGGAGTAATGAATGACTTCTTAAGAAAGAGAGCTTCTCACAAGCTATTTAGAAAATGATTCTAAACTAAGCTAAGCTTGTTTATCCGACTGAGGTCTGTCCTTATATGCTTGCGTTCAATCTACAGGTCGTATATTGACATGTTCTAGCCGAAGCACGAAAGCTATTGAAAATGGTTAGTATCGTGTCACTTTCTTGTTCTTGTGACAATCTGCTATAAGAAAACATATTGAAATTTTTATTGATTGAAATTGATGTGAAAGCATTAGCTCGGATAGGCCAACTTTTTGAAACCCTTGCCATATAATCGTTTCGACGAAAACTGAATCTTTATATGCTAAAAAAGCCTACTTTTCAATACTTCTTGATAAAAGTTCACTCATAATAATAATATGACATACAAAATAACCTTGCGGTATTTGAACCACGCAGACCTATTCTTCAGATCCGAACACATATAAGGATGTTAATGAAGAATCCAAGTAAGTTTGATTTGTAATATTTTATGATCAAAATCCGTCCTTAGTAAATCAACCAGAAGGAATTTGGATCACGTAGATCTATTATTTAGATCGAAGGGCTCTCATGAGAGTGGCGACAAAGCTTAATTTGTGGTTTGTTATGACTAAAACAATTGGAAAACAATAAAATATTTGACAAGCAAATTTAACTTGCTAAAATTAGACCACGTCCACGTTTGAGTATCCTCCAATATAAGGGCTTTCAGGAAAGTTATGCACATACGCGGCAAATAAGGTCGGCCTTGACTGATTATAGCATTCTTAGTTATCGTAAATCCCTTTTGTTTTCTTCGTCTTGTAAATGCAACTTACACTTTACTTTTTTGATCGGCTGATGACTGGACTAAAACTGGTTTAAAAAAAGACCAAAAGCTGATAAGTGGATAACGCAATCAACATTGCAAAGCAATCTCAGACCCGATAGTTGGAAGGCATATCCTCAAATTTGATTTCTGTTTCCGTTTGTCTACAGTTATGTTATTCAAAATATGCAAATAATTAGGCATGAACATGCCTGGGAAATAGTAAATGAAAATTGTTTAGCATGACAGCTGATATAATTGCTGCTTGCTTGGAAATTGATGTTAGCAATACCATTGAGTCTTTAACGTAATCGATTACAATAAATCTTTTTATTGACTATTTAATATTTTCATAGATTAATTGTGCATTTTTCGCTTTACTTGTGTGAAGAGTTTTTCTTTCACCTTTAATGGTTGGGAAGTCATCGGTATCAGCTTTGCAAGAATATTGTGCAAAAAATAAAATACCTGCTCCTACTTATGAATGGATTGATTCGGAAAGCGGTTCTTTCATTTGCAGAGCAACAGTAATGGAAGTTGAGGCGGATGGCAACGGACGTTCGAAAAGGGATGCCAAGCATCTAGCTGCTTCGAATATAATTAAGAAACTACGTTTACGGCATCCGGATATTGATGAGATCCCGCAAGTCGAACAAACGGAAATACCCACTACAGATATGATTGCGGTATTGAGGGACTATTGTGTTCAGCACCAACATCCGTTACCCACATTCGAAATGGTACAAGAAGGTGGTACACCAGATGCTCCAGAATTTATTGCGCTTTGTACCTTAGCGTCTATTAAAAGATTTGGCATATCTGAAAAGAAAAAAGATGCTCGCCAAAAGGCTGCTTTAGCCATGCTAGTTGTGATCCAAGATGTAAGTTGCTTCACATAAGCATTATAAAAAAACTATTCAATAAAAGTGCTTTTATGAAATTACTTATATTTTCAATAGCGCAACGCACAACCTTTGGAACGAGATATGCAAATAATATCGTTAGATGACAAAATGGAAGACGTTGAAGCTGAACGCTATCATAGATTTAAAACCTACCGGGAACTCACCGAATCCTCGCTAGGTGAAATTCCAGGTATATCGCTTTGCGAGCGTCACAATTACTTTAAAAAATTCCATAAACATTTGCGTATAGCGGCCAATAATATATTAGCAGACAGTTATGAATGCGACCAAGATAAGCTTATGGAACTTTTTCAGGCTCTTAAAATTAATCCGAAAATTAGCAAAGTGCCATCTGCAGATACGTTAGAATTGACGGTACATATTGAGCTTAACTGTGAATACGATGTATACTTTGCTAATCTTGAAAGTAAAATTTATAAGCAAGTTTTAAATTATTTTGAAACTATGTTAAATTAATTAATTCTCTATTTGTATTATGTAAAATTAATGCGAAAATTAGCAAAGCGCAATCTGCAGATACGTTAGAATTAAAGGTATGTATTAAGCTTAATTGCGAATAAAATTTATAAGCAAGTTTTACATTATTTTCAAATTATGTTAAATTAATTAATTAATTCTCTGTCGGCGTTATATAGCTATTTAATGTCTTTCTTAAATCTATTCAATGAACTTTCGTCAATTTCATGCATTTTTTCTAGCATTTCCTCTGTAAATTGAGTAAATGTTTATGAACGTTTGTATGTTGTATAAAGTGTGAAAAATCCATTCTTATTAGATTTCTATTTCGGTTTGCAAATTAAACAATGTTTTACATAATCTGAATATACCGAAAATTGGGTCGACAGAAAAGTAGCAAAAAGTATCTTATGACGTATACCACTACTCCGAATAAAAGGCAATGGACCGTTCTTCTACATTAATTTACTAATTGTCGATAGAAAACGACTCCTAATGAGATCGATTATTGTTACTGTTTGTCTTGTGTATACGCACGTTTTTTATCCAATGTACAGGTAGTATCTTTGTAGATATTCAATACGCTGGCACTTTTTGCTCCAAGGTCGAGTTCTTTATTTTGACAATGCCTTTATATAGAAAAAATTTTCCATTTTTATCATCACTCAAGAAAGATCGTCGAAAAAGATTATGTTGTTATACTAAAAGAAAATTTTTGCAAAATTTGCAAAGGATTTGTGCCTTCTATAGTACTTTAGTATAATAACTTAACACTAGTTTACTCTTCGGTCCTCATCCGATGAAAGAAAAACAAGCCCCCATGTGAGAGCAAGGATTCTACTATTTTATGATAAAAATTATATATATAATATATACGTTGTACAGTAAGTAATTATTATATTGTTATGAAATTCGCTTTTTACAAGATACAGTCCGTATCACTAGATAATGGATATTTTGATCAAGAGAAATGCACTTCAAAGTACTTTTATTTTACTACTTGGTCTTTCACAACAGTAGGAATATTTATTTACAATTTATTTTGGCCGTACTCTCAACTTCTACGTTCTTGCCAGACTAACTCTACTTTTCACAAATATTCGATTTATATACAATTTTACAAGAATGTTACTATACCTAAATCTATGGTGTAATCCCAGCCTGGTTTTTCCTCTAATCGTTTCCATCGGCCTGCACCTGCATGACGAGCCTGCGAATATGCACTTAGCCTTTACCTGTTTGCTTTTCCACTAATCGTTTTCATTGGCCTGCAGCTGCATGAGGCGCCTGCGAATGCACATTTAGTTTTCCCTTCTTTAGGGAATTTATTCTTACGAAAATTACTTAGCTGACATTTAACTGAATTTGGGATTTTCGTAACAATATGTATTTTGGAATGTGAAAAGACATGATTTTTAATTTTTATTAGGTATCATTTTATTTATGCATTCATTAACAATTGCTTTTAAGCTAAATTTTTTCCCGCCTTTTTCATTTTGTAAAAAAAAATTTAATATAATTATTCTTTTTTTTTAAATAGGAGTTGGTTATACAATAGCTTATTGTTTTAAAGACTTTGTCTGTACGTTGTTTTCAGTTTATGTTACAACAACAACAAATGTATATAAATATATATATATATATATATATATACATATATATATATATAAAAAGAATTTAACAAGTATACAAAAAATAATATATAAGAAAAAAAAAAAATTTTAGAATTGCATATATTTTCTTTTCCAATAAAAAAAAATTAACATAAAAGAAAGAGAGAGAGAGAGAGAAAGACAGGCGAACAGATGACAGGAAGACAGTAAAATAGTAAAAATTAAAAAAAAAAAAAAAAAAACAAAGCTCACCATGTAACTAACCAGACAATTATATTTAAGTCAAAAATATATCAAACTATAATACAAAGTTAATGTTATAAAATTATCTTAATGCGTTCGTGTTTTTGTTTTCCCTTTTTTTTTTTTTTTTTTATTGATGATCCACAACTGTGACTTCAATGGGTGGAATAAATTTCCAAATATGTTCTTGTTGCTCATGATAACTTTGTGTCGCGATATTAACGTTATTGAGCGTGGCTTGTAGATCGGAACTCATTTGTTGCGGCACGGGACATGAACGTGATAAAGATTGATTGCAAATTGGCTGTGGTTTTGCATGGCATTGTATGCTGGCCTTAAAGCGACCTGGTGTAAAAAACAAAACTGAACATTCATGATGAGCTTTCTGATCCTTTTGTAGAATTGGTATATGAACTCTGCGAATGGAAAATTAAAGATATAATTGTTAAAAAGAAATTTCATAAGATTTAGGGCAAACTTTTTAAACTAAATTATTATTTTATTTGTTTCAATCAGTTAATCGCATAAGAGAAATGAAAAAGCTACGATAGATATAGAAAAAAAAAAGAAAAGAAGATCAATGTCTGCTTAAGACTTTTAATTTCCCCACTAGCTTGCGCGCGAATTGTAATTGCAAGATCCAGCCGAGATATATGTATATAGCTTAAATCGCATTTTTATATGATTAATCAATCGTAAAATTGAAAATCATATTTACTTACTTTTCCTAATTTACACCTATCAAGTACGCAATGGTTTAACTAATTTTCACAGATCAAAACTTTAAAGTAAAGATAACAATTTTGTAGCCATAATTTAAGGAAATGTGAAAGAATAAATTGATCTTTATCAGCTCGAATGTATCGTGAGTGATTAGAAAAAAATTTGAGATAAAGTTTGACTTCGAACAGTAGACAGACAATTATGTCCAAATCGACGCTAATCAAAAATATCTTGAATTAAGAAAGATTCTGTGCATTTATTGTTTCTCCGGTTAGACATGCGTAGAGTTATCTACGTACGTAGCACTTATCTTATCAAGGCGTCTTAAGGCGAGTGCGAAATGCGAGAGTCAATACATATGTAAAAACAAGACAAAAAAAAACATGATTAATTTTGAAAATTCTAATTCAATTCCACTTTGACTAAGTCCGTCATTTTGTTGCGCAGATGTATTTATCATTTTGCTCATTTCCGCTCTGAAGGAATCAAGGTTAAAAATCCAAAGCAGTCTAACCAACCTACCGTTCAAAAATGCTATGAAATTCTAAAAAAAAAAAAAAAATTATCGCTTCATCAGATCGCTGCCCTATAATATCGAACGGAAAACAATTTTAGGCCGTAATCACAAATCTGGATATAGAAAGAAGCTCCGGCAATGGGCAGAATTTATAGCAGCGAATCGCTGCTGCAACAAGACGAGATCGCGCCATTTTTGAAGAGACTAATAACAGATAAGGAAAAAATTTTCAATTACGACAATAAAGTGCCTTTTCCCTGAATTATTATATAATTTATAGAGTCTTCGACGAGCATAAGAACATGAACAATTCAATACAACCTTAACTGTGTTCATAATTTAGGGATCTGATGGATTTTCTGATCGTCTTCCTACATTTTTTGGTTCAAGTATATTCGTGAAATACTAAAGAAAAATTCGATTCTTATCAAGTTGTTGCGCTTTTTTTCCGACTAGTGCTAGTAGATTATGCTGCTCTTCTTGTTTCCCGATTTTGCCATAAGAACATAGATTTCAAAGTTTATGTATTATTTTAATTTTCACATCTCTACATTCATTTCCAATCTGCTGAACACTGCAAATGTCATGTAATGTAATGCAATGTAATTTAAGTCTACTATCCTTCCTACAAAGGAAGTGACGCGAGAGTTACGGCTTTTTTCCCACTATATACATATAATTAATGTAAACCAAGAAAGACTAAATTTTGCTTTAAAAACGTTGCATGCCAAATAGGAATGACTGTAAGCAGTCTCGATATTTCTGATTGTTACAAAACGATTCTATAAATCATATATTCCAGTCTCCGAGACTGAAAGTGAGTAGATAAAGAATAAATGCAATGCGAAGATTTTCACACAATAGCGATAATTAGCATATCTCGCTTTTAGAATAAAGAAGTGGGCACCTGGATCCATAGATCCTATAAAAGTAGTGAAAATTATGCAGTGAAAACGAAGGATGATATCATTAGCATAAATAGGATTTTGAAATAAAACTAGATCTTGGAGATCTCAGTTGTACCAAATATTTTTAGTAAAATACTCCACTCATCTAGTTTTATGAAACGACATATAAAATTTAATTAGAAATAGGGTGCATAGTTTGCATATAGCTTTATCGGCAGGAGTTTATAAAAAGTTTGATTTTCTCTATAATTTCGTGGAACGTGAAAATTCTATTCTAGCTGGATTAGAAAGTTTGGTTTAACACTGCGTACGCACGCGACGTAGGCAGTTAACTATTCAAAAAATTGTTTTGCGTTTGGCGACACTTAACATTATTATAATCATTTCGCTTTACCTATTTGGACCCGAAACGGCGACTCGTGTTTCCAAACTGTAGTTTTCAATGCCATTTAAATAATCCTGATAGAATTTTATTGTCAGCGTCAAGTTTCTAAGAGGATGTAACGATTGATTGCGCACATCTATGCTGAGTATTGAGCTTTGTCCTGCCACGCAAATAATCTCTGATTGCGGTTGCATTGGTTGATTCTTGAATAAGATACCTTTCGAAATAAAAAAATTGTAAAATCAAGTTTTAAAATCAAAACAGAAAACGCTCGAAAGATTATAAAAGAATAGGATAGTTGGTGCCTAGCAAGTATATCATCATAACTTCAAGCAAGAAAGATACCGAGTCTTTTAATCTGGCTACTAGTTTACGTATAATATTCGATTGCAAGGTTGACCGATGAGCCAATTGCTCGATGCACCGAGATTATAAAGCATATCGCATTTATTTGGTACATTGACGTATTCTGGCCCAAGGATGAGCTGAATACTGAATATACTAGCATCGGACCACTTTTTCGACCGTTACCCATATAAAACTTCGTTTTAACAAATCGTTATATGGATAATTTGGGAAATTGAGATAAGAGAAGAAAGTTCTTATGGCGGCAAGTTTAAAAGATCCAAGAAGCAAGACAAGCAAGTTTAAATCAAGAGACTGCACACACTTACATCTGTGTACATACGTTATTCGGTTTCCAGAACTAATTTAAACTTACAATTGGTGATGCAAAATTAGCATACGCTAATCCCATCTCCATACGGTAGATATAAAAAACACTTGAAATAGTGTTTTTTAAATTTTTTGGCGTTGCCAATACTTGACTTGACAATACAAGACTTGAGCCTGCTTCATTATTATGCTTTCGGTGCATTAAATACATTTTAAGATTTGAATAACAAGTTGGCTTTCGGATTATAATCGAGTTAGCATTTAGGCTATTGTCCCAGAAAATTGCAAAAAGAAGCCAAGAAAACAAATAACGAAGAACTAATCACTACTATTGATAAATAACTTACTCCACTGCAAAGGGGACACCGTACATAAATCAATCATAGCTTGCGTCAAGATGATGCCTTTCAGCGATGCTACACCACGAATATTGGTGCCAGTAAGAAGCCAATTTATTTTCACTCTTTCCGCTATATGTTTAGAACAAAGTCGGCTGACCGAATCGTTGAATGAAACCGTTTGAGATCGAAAACAAAGTTCTGTAAACAGTAAATGTAAAGAAATAATTTTAATTATTAATCTGATAAAATATAAAACCTTTCTCTAAATTCTCAGCGATTTCGGCTTCTCGAACAGCGTATACTTGTTCCAGGGAGCAGCGATCGACAGGAATGGGAACGCGACAACTTTCTTTGGCTTCGATTAAAATGTTCTTATGATTAGTATAGTTGAGCGACATCTCTTGAGCAGTTAAGTTCGTTATATCCAAAACTAAATAGAATTGTGAAGGACTGAAAGGAAGAATAGGGATTTTTTTCATAATTTTTCTACGAATAACATAAATGTTAGGGGAAAAATCGCCTACATTTCTGCCGGCAAAACATCCCAACTGGTTATTTGAGCACTCGATAAAAATTCCAAATTAAATGATATTGCACACTGACGACAGTAGCCCTCCGGCAATGCTTCACCACCTGAATACTTTAAACGTAATTGTGCTTCGACAGGTTTAGATGAATTTACCGCAGCTAATCCAACAGCCAGAGGAGATAAATTTAATGCAGCCGCTGATTGATGGGCACTTGAAGGAATCGAACGAAAACTACTGTAGCCGGTATCATTACGTTTACTTTGCATCTGGATTTGTTGAAAACTATTAGGTGATCCTCCTCTCAACGGTAGACTGACATGACCTGATGCTATTGTCAAAGTTGCCGAGCTATCATAAGAGGATGACGGATTGTTTAGAGTGCTGGCGGAATGCATTGAGGTGGTGGCTTGTTGATTGATAATGCCGGGACATATAAAATCGGCTTCAGCAAATATAATTACTTTAAAGTCTATGCTACACTGAGCAGCAATGGGTAACTTTGACTTTGGTTAGGAAAGAAACATTTTTTTTTATAAATGGTCATCGTAAGAAATTACTCTTTTTGTCGTACCTGGATGTCATCTTCATTGATTACAAAGATTTTTTGTTGCATTTCTTGTGCGACATTTGACGTTACGTTCAATTCTAAATGTTCTATAGGCACTAAACTCTCATTTGTTACAGTTATCACGCAGGAAGAAGACTCTCCATTATAAAGAGTCAGACTAGCTGATGTTATCACAAGGTCCTTGTTAGCCAGATTACTAAATGTAGCCGTCTGTGGTAATGATGTCTTGACGGAAATGCATGGTAGTGCTGGTATTACGTTGACCAAATAATTGAGAGGAAATTTTCTATCCTTCATATGTTTCAGACGACAATTTGATTTTACACCCAACGTATGGGTGCTATAGCCCTGAATATCCAACTGGCCCACTTCTAAAGGTGTACCATGTAACGTTACATTAGTAGGTAGATGGGGCTGTAAAGTTATAGTTTGCGACAGGGATTTGAAAACGGTGCCGTTAGTTAATAAACGCATATCGTTTACAATAACTTCGAAAGGCAACGGATTTTGTAGACGAACAGCGACTTCGCTTACATTATTTTGTACCCAACAAAAGGCTGAAATGTGTAGCAACGTCAGTTATGATAATTAGTTTAAAACGCAAACATATTACCAATCTTATTCTTGTCCTTATTCTTATCACGCCGATCAATCGAATTGAATTGCAATGGTGTAAATAGAAATGGTCCACTTTCAGCTTTATCGATTTTTAAACGTTGAGGTCGCAGATGTGCAGGCAAATCTTTCACACAGAAATCCAAGCAATATGGTATATCTGTTAGATTGGCCGGTGGTATAACGGTGCCATTTTCCAAGAATAAAGGCACCGGCGATCCTTCACACTGCGCACTCAAATTCTGCATGAAAGAAGGCAAACAATTTTTTTTGTATACTTAAAGTTCAGTTTTTTCAAATAGGAAGCGAACCTTTAATTGCACAGCCATTTCACTTTGTTCCTTTGGTTTCATATTATGCCATTGTGTTTGCAACAAAAAAGTCATATGCCTCGTGGCCAGAGTTGATTGACCTAAATTGCGTGCCGCTGTTATTAAACTTTGCAGAAGGTCGATTTGTATTGATGGCCAACCAGAGTTATTTTCAAGAACTTCCATCGGATCCAGTGACAACATGTAACCGGGAAAACTGGACAACAAAAGACGGTAGGTATGCGTGAAATCGGACTGGTTTGCACTTTGATGAACGTGCTTTAATGCAGCCAAACGCTGAAAAAAGGCCGCTTTACGCATATAACCGACTTGTTGGTAGAGCGCAGTCATCATTTCAAACATTCTAATAAGTTCCTTTTCAGTTAAACTATGGTTTATATACAAAACATTTTGTAAAACCATTGCTACATCCAGCGGCCGATTTTGCTCTATTGAAATACGGGCTGCTTTAAATGACGCTTCAATCTCCACCACTGCCGCATAACCGTATTTGCTATAGTTAATAATAGCTTTGTGGAAATAAATGGGTATTTCTTCAGCTTTTAATATATTGCCTGGTAATTCACTATATTGTCCTCGGGGATGAGCTGCCGAAATTGTGGACGTGGAAGTTGAAGACGAACTACTAGATGTTTGAGACAAAGTAGAATTTGTTAAAATTGACGATACCGATGACGTAGATGCAGAATGCGGTGGTGGGGACATTATGTCGCTGTGTTCATGATTGTGTTTATCAGATGTACTAACTCGTTTTGTCAAGTCACTGGATCTCCATTTTTCTGGGGTATTTTTTAAAGGCGATCCAACTTGAAGAGAGGCATTACGGTGCAAGGTCTCCTCTGTCCTGAGATGGGGATACAACAGCAAAGCTGATGCCGCACAGAGTCCTTCTTCGGCCGCTCCCTCCCATAAAAAGTCAATAATCGATTTTAAAGTTTCACAGGCGTTATGATAAAGACTGAGAGCATCTTCTATTAGTCCTGCCTGTAGGGATAAATCAGCCAAATTTTTCAATGTTCTCCCAGTTATGCGCTTCTTGCTATTACGTGAATCTCGATCCAAGCCAACAACTTCCCGCTTCTCAAATGGTGCTGTGAGTAAATTGCACTTCTCTGGCTTTTCACGTGATCTCTCTAAGCGTCGAGATTCCAATATCCAAAAGAGTCCATTAACGAAATCAACTATATGTGTTTCCAAGTCTTCGTATAAATCATTCTCCCTATAAAAGAATGCCTGAGCTTTGAAATTAGATGGTGTTGTATATTCGTCTTGCAGACGTTTAGGCAATGAAATTTCAATCTCTGGGCAGGGATTTTCTTTAATTGTTTCCAGATCATTGTGATTTTCCATTGTTGTTGATGAAGAAGCAATCGCGGGCTCTTCTGGTATAGGAGGGCCGAAAAATATAGCCCGAGATTCATAGAGAGTGCCACCATAACGCACTTTCAAAGACTCATGCTGACGACATAGTTCATTCAACTCGATTTGAGTTTCAAATTTTCCAATTGTTACCAGACCTAAAAGACGTCTATGCGTTTGAAAGTCACCCCAATCATTATTTTCTACAGGATGATCGTGAATATAACGCACCCAGATATCACGAATCAAGCCATTGGAATCTGCAACAACCAACAAGGTGAGAGAATAATAAAAAATTGCATTAGACACTCCCTATACTGACCTGTAATTTTGACATTATTTATCCCTCGTACTTTATCGAAAGCTTTCTGCAATGTGCGCGGTTTGGAAGGACCAACACCTCGCAATAAAACTAGTAAATAGCTGTGATGTAAAATTGTTTGCTCATAATCGGGACGAGACATTGTGTTTTCAAAATTCATCGTATCTCCGTCGGATAATGAGTTCTATTGCCTTTCTGACATTTGTCTTCCGACTTTTGGCTAACGTTATAAACTATTTAAAATATATTTTTATAATATTTACGTTATTCCTATCAGTAAGTCCAAAATCCTATCACTGGTTTGCGGGCGTACGATTTTATCATACTTTACTTCCTTATTTCTTATTATTAGGATGTCTCCCTAGAGGGAATTCCTCACATCAATATAAAACCATTCAGAGTTAATTAAGCATTACATTATCTGTTCATTTATTGTATAATTTTCACTGAAATTTTGCAGAGCTATTTTTTTTATAATTTTTCTTTTATAAAATAAACTTCTTTAAACAGTGCTGTCTAGTTTTTTTCATTTTGTGTCACTAATGAAAGGATGGCAAAACTGCCAACATTAAAAAATAATACGCAATCAACAGAAAAAATATATTCTATAATCGTATTTATTGACATCGTATCGCTACTTAACAATTATTAATCCAAAATGCTGAAACCAACACTAGAATATTCTTCAAATTTAACATAAGTAGCTTAATCAATTAGTTTGAGTATATTAACGGCACTAATATTAGCGTAACACTTTCATTTGAGATCCATACGCATTCGTCACAAACTCAAGAGATGTTATATTCTTCGTTACCATAGACTTCTCAAGTTCGTTCTATGTCCTCAGTTATAGTTTAAAAGAAACAACGCTAAGCATTGTTTATAGATGATAAATATTTATGTATTTTCTCTGCTCTGTTGCGTGGTACAAAGTTTTTGCATAGTTGTTTGTAAAAATGGCTAACGGATATGCTTAGCAGTTAAAAAACTTTTTTTCTTTTTTTTAAACGTAAAACCAATACAAGTTACCAAACGCGAATTATTTTATAATACATACCTGTCTTCTTTGACATGTAAGTAGTTGTAAAACACATACAGTTGCAGAAAACCATATGTTTTTAATTTATACGCCGGACAGTTTATTTCTATATTATAGAGGAAGACGCTTCTTTTTTTTTGGAGTCAACAGGACGTTTCTTTTCTCGCTGATTTATTAAAATTTATTTTATTGGATACGACATGAACTTATTGCCGAAATCTTATGAAGAATTTGCCCAAACCGATTATTGGAATGCTTTCTTTAAGAAACGTGGGGGAAAAGCATTCGAATGGTACCCAAATAATCTAATTGCAGATTGAAATTGAAAGTTAATTTTTTTTTCACACCACTTTTAGGTACGGTGAATATTTGGAGCTGTGTGAACAAATACACAAATATGTTAAGACTACAGATAAAATTGTAATGTTAGGTTGTGGTAATTCTAACTTAAGCATGGATATGTATGACGCCGGTTTTAAGTAAGTAGCGATCTTTCAGCTCGAATTTGAAAAAAAATTGAAGGATTTTTTTGTTACAGAGATATAATCAATATCGATATATCCGCGGTAGCTATTAAGAAGATGATGGAATTGAATTTATATAATCGCAGTGATATGAAATTTTTACAAATGGATGCTACAGAAATGAGCTTCGAAAATGATTATTTTTCTGTAGCCTTCGATAAAGGTACCTTGGATGCTTTGTTCGTTGACGATTCAGAGCCGGTGAAACTTACCGTTGAAAAATATTTCAACGAAATAAATAGAACTATGAAGTCAGTGAGAAACTATTTTAAATTATTTAATTTAAATTGATTTAACGAAAGTAATCTTTTAAAATGATAAGATCTGGTGGACGTTATTTGTGTGTAACCTTACTACAGGAACACATTTTAAAATATATCTTGGATTATTTTCCTAAACATTCATTTATGTTACGCATTGTTCATTGCCGGGATGCTGAAAATGCTAATCGCGAGAAGAACGCTTACAATCCAGAAAGTATAACAATGCCCATATTTCTGGTGGTGGCTACAAAATTCAAATGTCTACCTACACCGGTGATTATTCATATACTAGTTTGCGTTTTTTCTTAACGTTATATTTGCAGATTTTAGAATTTTGCTTAACCAGCGATAAAATACAGCGTTTAAATACAGTTGAAGAGTTAATGAATGCGGTAGTCTCTATACAAAAGGCTGCTCTCGTGTGCAATGGCTTAGCTCGCAATAGTATAGCAGGTTAGTAATGTTCAAAAATATGTGCGCCGCATTTCGTCGAATTACGGCCAGGTAACTCGCCCCATATTCAGGAGGTACGTTGCAGGAGACATTTGATTCTAAATTTTCTTAATAGTTGAGAGGGACGTCTAATAAGCATCAAATGACCTTAAAAAGGGCACGCATTCGAAATTTTTTTTTAAAGACGCACGGTCAGATGGCTATTTAAGCATCTTATTTTGAAGCTGTACTTAAAATTGGAAGGTAGACTGAAACAAGCAAAGCACGTTTGAAGCTCAAATTTTGAAGAGATGTTTGCTTTACTCCTAATGTTCAATGGAATACGTATGTGCTTGGCTGAACAGTTTTTAAAACAAATTTCAACTCGAATTTCTTTTTTCACTTGTCAAGACTTCCGAAACCCTTCAAATATTTGGTATGCGATTCTACGATTAAGCTCCGAAAATATCTTTGTTGATTTATGCATAAATTCTCCTTCCGAAAAATCATCTTGTACGATTTTTTGTTATAGTTTAGATATTCTTTATTGATCTTGAAATGCTTGTTATACGATTCTACGACTATGTTTGGGAAAATCGGATTTTTGATGCATTCTTAAATTCTTCTTCCACAAGATCATCTTATACCATTTTTAAATAGTTTAGACATTTTATAAAAGGTGACGAATTGCATTTATTGCATTGCTCCTTAAAATGTTGATAAATTTGTTTTGTTTAAATTCATTAATTTATTTTTTAGGTCACAATGAAATCACTATGGATTTATGTAAACTTGGGGAAAATCTGCCCCGCTTCACACTTCACATTTTGGATCAACCTCCGGCTAGAGGTTTGGGCAGATATGCCGCCTTTATTATACCACAAGGAAGGTGAATCGACCAAACTATTCCTTTTATCATCTGCTTTCAATTATAATTATTTTTCAGAGAAGTGGATTGGCTGTTCGCCACGCCTGAGGGGCGTAAAAAATTATTGGCTTCAACAAATTACCAGCGTTTAGTTGTTGTGCTATTACATCGTGATCAGGAATATAAATCTTTGGATGCTGTAAAAACAGAATTAGCTGATAGTATTAAAAATCTAGCTCCATTTGGCTTAACAGAACCAGTAAACTCTTGCTTTGCTTTTTTTTTTTATTTCAAAGATAATTATGAGATATTTTTCTCTTCTAGATTCCATTTCTGTCGTTGGGGTCCGATGTGGGTAAACGAGAAACTTTGGTTTGCGCTTCGTCAAAGATCTCTGGCGATTTTCGTGTGGAAGAAGTTGAAGGCTCCAGTGGTAAATTGTTTCGACGTTTAATATTCTTAAATAATCAATCTGTGATCCAATCAGAGGCTTTAGTTAAAAAAAGTACGCTTTGCGCAATTTTTTATTTAAAGCAAATATTTTTATGAAAATCTATTCTCTTCAGTTAAAGGAAAGGGTAAAAAAGAGCGCAAAAAAATTGATTTTGGTTACCTGGCCTGTCAACATCATCTGTATATGTCAGTGGGCGTACAAATGTCTGTTCTAACCGGTAATCAAAATAATGAATTAAAAGATGTACTTGTGCTTGGTCTGGGAGGCGGTGGGCTATGCAGTTTTTTGCATAAAGTTTTAAAGTCAGTTTGTTAAGAATAAAAATGAAAAATATATTAACAGTGGTATAATTTCTAAGTAATTGATAATCGTTTAAATTTTAGTTGTATACGTGTAACCGCTGTAGAAATTGATCCGATCATGTTGGAGGTGGCCGAACAATATTTCGAATTAAAACAAGATGATCGATTGTGTATAGTCATCGATGACGGTTTGTCATTCTTGGAGAAATGCAAAACTGAAGGTAATTATTATTTCAATTACATTTAAGAAGTATAAATATATTTTTAAATTTTACACTTCGAATTAGGCATTTCGTTCGATGCAGTCCTCTTTGATGTGGACAGTAAAGATATATCATTGGGCATGAGTTGCCCGCCTTCAAGTTTTCTAGAAACAAATGTCTTAGCAAATATTAAAAGCATTATTGGTTCTAAAGGCGTTTTCATCATAAATTTGGTATGTCGTAACGACGAATTGCGTACTCAGGCATTGAAGAATTTAGATAAATACTTTTCGGCCATTTGCACTTACAAGTTGGAAGAAGATATTAATGAAGTTATTTATTGCTCGAATGATAAAAACTATCAATCTTTGGATAAGTGGAAAAAGATCTTATCTGCCTCAGCCAAAGCATTAAATAATTCTGTTAAAAAAACTAAACTCAATAATACTGATATGTTGAATATCTGCGATTTCATGAGTGATTTAAGTATTTAACATAAGTTTCTACTGAAATACCTAACGTAAGCTTTCATCCCAACTGAAATAATAAAAAAAAAAAAAAACAAATAAATATTGAAATATTTTTAATAAGAAATTCAAGAAATTTTCTTATTTTTAATAGTATAGTGAGGAGGAAAGCGGTGTTATAGCGACACGAAAGCCGTTTGAAAATTATTTTCATTGAAATCAAATGAAATGAGTATTAGCATATGCTCAGCACCAGCGAGTTTTTGTATTTATAAAATGAGTTCAAGCTCAAATAGTTGAAAAAGTACGTTTTTCGAGCATAGTCTGTGCACGCATCCTGATTGCCTTGGATGATGAAAATTAGAGCCAAAACATGTTCTTTGCGATTACATTTTAATTAAACATTTCAATTTTGATTCTAAAGATTTAAAATACTTGGAGTTTCAAAATAAAATTCTCTGACGAGCATTCTTGGATTTTTTTAATGAATTAAGGTTTTCCAAACCCATGAATTTTTTTAGAAAGAATCTCGTAATACCTGTTCGATTTTATGCTATATTTTGGAAAGACTTCTAATTCAAGCAGAAAAGTACAGACTTGCGACCTCTAGTGGTAGATCAAGAAGATCCCTTCAAAAGAATGGTCGTTCCATACCACTTTTAAAAAAAAAAAACTGGGAAAGTTTTCTTATATGCTTTATTGTTCAATGTTTTTAAAAGCCCGCATATTAAAAATCTGTTCATTTTTTATACCTTACACCACTTGCGGTACCTGCGTATATTAAGTTTAGTGTAGATGTATGCAACACTCAGAAGGACTTCGGGTAGACCCGCCATTTACTATACTGATTAATTTGGAATCACCTTTCAAATCGACTGTGCTTGTCTGTCCGTTCGTCCGCCTTGTTCTCTTCTCTTCAAAATAAATTTTTTTGGACATTTTAAGAAAATTTGGTACATTGACGTATTTTGGCACAAGGACAAAGGCTATTGAAAATTGTTATGGTCGGACAACTTTTTCTGCCACTTCCCTTTAATGTTCCAATTTGAAACATCGTTAACCGTAACTGCAACCCTGTAGAGCGGTTTTAAATTTCTAATAACGGGCAGTAGCCCACTATAGTGCTTGTACTTGTTATATATAAAAGATCTTAATTTTAGGTGATGTGATTTCCCATGTAAATGGAACTGGACCATAGAAAATGCGTATAGGTCCGCTGCAATTCGTTTACCCTTTCTGTGAGAATAAAAATAACAAAAATTTTTTTCTATTTTCAGTTTATTTTTTTAAATATGTTTAAAATATAATATAATAAATAAATTTTACTCAGCAAATTTTGTAGAAAATAAGTTAAAAGAAAAAAAAATAAAAAATACTAACGATTTATCAGATAATTTAACGAAAATTAAACATTAGAAATATAAAACAAATTTTATTTTCATTTTCGTTAAATGAGGCTAACATAATGAAGGAAACTAAATATAATGATTTTATGTCCATCATATATAGAAATTATGCGTCAAGCTCTATAAAGCTTTGAATAATTTTCTTTAGCTAAATCCGTCCATTTGTTCGTCCATTGTTTCCTATTGAAATTACTATTGAAGTTATGTTTATTCTTTGTTCAGTTCCGCAAAACAAGGCCGACAACAGTCACGATCGTCCCACGTTAGCATAGAAAGACGCAAATTTCCAAAATAACATAAGTAAAAATTATATGCTTAGGCGATGGATCTGTACGTAAGATATAACCTAAAGCGAATATATATTATTTTTGAAAATTCTTAAAAACGATCAGAAGTCTTTGAATGTAAGTGTATGTCGATGTAAAAGAAATGAAATAAATACTATGTACTTTATAAATATAACAGTAATTTGTTGTTGTTGTTTTTTTTTTTTCTTTTCTAAATATTCAACATTTTAAACAATATATTTTGTTGTTTACTTTTTTTTTTTTTACTCTTGGGGTTATTCTAAATTTTTGTTCTCTTTAACAATTAATTTGCGATTTTTACAAAAATTTTCTATTATCATTTTAAATTACTAAACAAAGCCATAAGGAATTTTGAATGTATGATAATAGTATCTGCATTATAATATATATTATATAAATGTATGCTAAATATTGATTGTTACACATTTCTTAAATATATAACAATTTGTTTTTAAATTGCAATTTTCTTTTTACATTCTTTTTTTTTTCTTTTGTAAACAATTTTATTTTAAAAATGTACGCTACGATTTTCTAAGATCTGCCGCTAGAAAAGGAAAAAAAAACAATGCACAAAAAATCATCTAATAATAATACGTATACAAAAATTTCAAATAATATTTAAAATTAATTATTGATTATATAAAAACATTTATTTTTAAATTGTAAATAATGGGCGTTGCATCAGCTTATTACTTTTTTTCCTTTTTTGTATTTTTTTTTTTTTTTTGTAAATAACTTGACTTTAAAAATGTTCGCTATGATTTTCTAAGGTCTTCCGCTAGAAAAAAAAAATGTGCAAAAAATCATTTTATAATATGTTTAAGCAAAAATCAAATAATATTTAAAAATAATTCATTATTGGTTATACAAAAATATTTGTAATATATGAAAAAAAGATGTGATTACGGCCTGACTCTTTTCCTTGTGATTATATTAATAACGGATAATAAAAAACATTGTTACGCACATATATAATACTATGGCCGTAAAGTAAGACCAATATTCAAGTTGAATTGCGCGAATATATCTCGAATATCAGATATATATACTTTTTTCTTAATTGGTAGAACTATATCAGATTGAGGTCAGCTTTTCCACGACCCAAAAACACTTTTTTCAATTTCTACAATACGTGTGGGGACATGATTCCCGACTATCAATCGGTCATCAAACGCATTATCACAAGAGATGAGGCTTGGATATCCGCGTACAACCCGGCAACAACCGATCAATCAAGCGAATACCGTGCGAAAGATGAGATAAAATCGAAACAATCGAGAGAAAATCGCTCAAAAATTAAGATGATGTTAACAGTTTTTTTTTAATTATCGCGGTGCTTTTCGTTTAAATTCTGTCCGCCGGACCAAACTATAAGAAGTAATATCATCTGTTTTTGAGGATTACTTTGTAGCCGTCGAAACAAATTTCGAGTCGATTTAAAAAATTAAAAATTAAATTGGTCTCACTTTTTGGACATAACAGCACGTTGTGTTATAGCATATACATACATATATAGAGTACTTGGAATGCGTTTTATACTATGTGTCTTTATATGATAGGTCTACCGAAAAGTTTTGTCTCTTCCGGTTGCAACAAGTTTCAACAAGTATGCAAGTATTCTTTCGACGCATATTTGACTCTCTCATGTTTATCACTTAATGTACACATATGGATTTAGAAAGTGAACTTAAACGAAGATGATTCGTGTTAGTATTAAGTGAGATGTGATCGTGACAAGAAGAAAGGAAAACTAAAAACTCTCAAAATATTTTTATTAAGCTGTGAGATGTGATAGAAGCGCAACTCTGCTCGTCAACAGACAACAAATATGCGCTCAAAGCAACTTAAGCATTAAGTGAACTTAAGCAATGAAAAATCTAAAAAGAAGGGACAACTACTAGAAACTCTCAAAATATTTTTATCAAACTGTGGGAAGCGATAAAAGTGCAATTCTGGTTGACAATAGACACTTTTTTCCTTTTACATTAGTGTAGCTTTGGCGAGATTACTGTTAAATAGCCATGAGGTTGGGAGCGATTCGAAGGGAGTTTATTATCTTGCCAAAAACTACAAATTTTGAATAAAGTTTTTTATGTTAAAGTTGAGTGTAAAAAGTGCGATACTGTCTTTGACAGATGCGGGAAATGAAACCCTTTCTAACAAAATATATCCAGGGAAAGTGAATGAAAAAGAATCTATGAATATACAAAGGACTTTCTTTTGCGCTCTTGCCGAGTTATTGCAATAAGAAAATATGTCCATAATATTTTCCAAAAGTTTAAACGCGTTATGCTTTTCATTGTAGTTTTTTTGCAGTTGCTTTTTAAAATCTTAAGAGAATTAGATAAGTAATTTTCGACAAGTTAATTGAAGCGTGTTAAGTAGTAACAATTTTTCTACTCAAATATTTGCCGATTAGAAAATAAACAAACAAATGCTTTGTATTTGACAGATGAAGATTTCAAATTTACATCAGATAACCTATAGGCCGTAGATCCCTTTGAAAATACTTCCACTGACTACCATACTATTTTTTTTTTTTTTTTCGTATTTTCCAAAAAGAATTTTTTCTTAATACTTTTAAAAAAAATTGCGAGAAATGCTTTTTTGTTTTTTAGTTTGTTACGGTGGCATTACCTCTTAAGCGCAACTATTTGGGAAAATATTCCGCTGCGAAGCCAAAAAAATATAAAGCAATTAAAAAAGATGTCAATCGGAAGGCAAAAGATGGCGAAAATAGAAAGAGAAATTAAGACTTCTTCAATTCTTCAATGCCACTTAATTTCAATTAAATATTAAGAGATTGATAGACAGCGTAGTATATAATTCAGAATTCTCATCGATTTTTTTCATACATAAGGAAGCTATTTGTGTTAAGAATAGCGTAATGTTGTGTTTTGAGAGTTTTTAAAAAATTATATAAATCGGAACAAAGTAAATAATTAATTGGCAAATAAATTAAATAAATTAATGAAAAGAAGAAAAGAAAGAAATGTAAGAAAATCAAAGATTATATGTAAAAAATGAATTAACGAAAAGAGAAGCAAATAAAAAGGAATGCAATACTGCAACAATAACAGAAATTGCTTCTGTTCAATTCGTTTGGCTTTCGTTTAATAACAATTTTCTTAGAAAACCTTACGAAAAATTTTATTAAATGTACGATTCTTCTTTTTCGATTGATTCGAAGAAGAATTGGAATTTGAACTGGTACTACGATTACTATTACTGCTGCTTGCGCTACTACTAATGCCACTACTAATACTTCTTACAATTTCTCCCGTCACTGTTCCCGTTGCTCTTATGCCGCTTGTTTGCGGAACACCATTAATGGCGGTTAAGGATTTATTGCTTGTATGGGGAATGTTTTTACATTGTGGTGAGGTGATGGCACTTTCTCCGGATGATAAAATAGCCTCTTCAAGTATGCGAAATGAATTTTCAGTGGAATTAGTGGGAAAGTTAATTTCGGATAGAGAAGATGAATCCAAACTGGCATTAGGCGAATTGCGTACAAATGTGTTCGAGTTTTGCGTAGCTGAGGATGATGAAGCTGATTTTTTTAAGCGATACCACTCCCATGAGGTCGATTCATGCGCAGCGTTCGATTTGTTAGTAGAGATTTTACCTTTAAGACTTTTCGTAAATGGCGATTTGAAGAAAGCTGGCGAAGATAAGCGGCGAGATTTTTTATTCATACTTGTTGTACTTTCAAGTTTGCTTGGCTTTTTAGAGGCAGGATTATTGGCTTGCAAATTGCTAGGATTGCACTGATGGCCTCTCGGCCCTTCGGGCATAAACTCATTGTATACCAAATCGGTATTTGGTATGAAATTATCGAGATCACCTTCATCAAGTATTAGGGTTTCATTGTAATTAACAGTCTTTGCATCATCTACATTTAACAGCGTAGATATCTCATGTGGCGGTGTTAGGCATTCGGATGGTGCAGATTCTGGCCTCTTAATGTTCTGCTGTTCCCTTTTCTTTTTTTGATTTTTAAAACCTCCATTAGCCAAGGGTGGCTTTTTTAATCTTGCCAAAGGAACTTTGCAGGAATCTTGCAAAAAAAAAAAACATTTGCATATTTTATAACATTAAAAACAATAAAAAAAAAAAAAAAAAAAAAAAAAATTAATTTTGCTCTTAAGAAACTTACCACCAATTAGGTCCCTGGAACTTAATTCTTCTAAATGATGCCACGCTTTTTGTTGCGATTGTATAGAATTTGGCCAAGAGTGTTTCTCACTGCGACGTTTATTTGTTGATTTCGGACCCGAAGCACTACCAGCACTTAGTAAACTGTGGCTATCGTAACAAACTGATATTTTGCGTTGACGTAGCGCATGGATAAGGGTTTCATCTCGTCCCGATGATTTCTCATCTTTCGAGTCCTTTATAATTAACATGGCCTCCTCACTGGGACGCCTTTGTTTGCTATCAGAGGCATTGTCTGCCACTGGCTTGTTGCCGTCACCTTTGTTTTGATAATGTTGACGATCGGAAAAATCTTCAAACGATTTTCGACGATGAATCTTTTTCGCATTTGCTACAGTTGTCGATTCAGTTTTACGTTTGCTTTCGCTGTCTTGTAATGCCCGAATATGCTTTGTATCTCTGCGCATAGAGCGATACAATAAAATGCCCACCATCAAGACAAGGAATACGAAAGCACCGACGAAAATTATTACCACAATGCAGGCGTGAACTTGCAATGTTAAATCATCCAATTCTTCCTTAAGCCGAGCATTATGCAAAGCATATAATTGCTCCAATTCATAGTTGCGTCGATTTTGCTCCTCCAATGTGCGTACAATTTGAATTTGTTGTGTCAGAGACTGCTGCAATTCTTCGACTTGTTTCTTATAACGACGCGATAGTTCTTCGAGGTATTGGCCTGACAACGACATGTTACGTTCAAGTGCCTGAAAATACAAAAGAAAACGGAAGGCTATCGAAAACATATCGTAATTGTTGTTGTTCGCAAAAAAAGTGGCTTTGCCCACGTCAAGAGGGTGTCTGTCGAATGGTAAGTTTGTAACTACAACCGAAAGCACGCAAAAAAAAAAAAAGAAAAAAGAAAAAAGAAAAAAAGGAAAACTTTCACGTTCATCGTCTACGTTAAAAAAGTTTAGAATTTATGGTGAGTTTAAATACAAAACAGATGAGCTCACAGCGAACAAACAGTAGTCAAACATTTCAATATACCGAGCAATTAATATTCCTTGTCATAGATCAGCGCGCTTATGACGCTGACGTAATGACATTTAGAATAACGTGTGAATGTCGTTACCGAATTCCTAAGAGATGAAAGAAAATTTTAATAATTGAGGTTTTTTTTTGAGAGAGAAATTTGCGCTGTGTTTAAACTACCAAAGCCCACTGTTTTCATTTTATCTCCTTTTTTTCTTTTTTGCGTATTTCCCGTTTTACAAGGAAAATAGATAACCTTCTAATCACTTAAAATGGAGTAAATGAAAGTTTCTTGAAGGTGAATATATGTGAAACAGTAGCCATAATACAAAAGGGAAACATGCAAACTTGCCATTAAAAATATGTACATACCTACATACCTACATTGTATACACATGTATATATATTTACAGATGAATTGTAGGGAGTAGTGTTTTGCAATATGTTAGGGATTTGGAGCAGTCCGTATTGAAAGGTCAAAAAGTGAAACGAAAAAAAAAAAAAAAATTGCTTACTTTGATTCGATTGGATAGACGTATAAAGATGCTCTCCGATTGAGGACTGCTGGGTATTTTATGCTGGAGATTAATACCGTTTTGATGTGAAGATCCTGATGCTGTTCCTGCGCCAACCGTAGAAGGTACATTTGCCGATGTCAGTAAATTTTCAATATTATCCCATGAATTTGAGTCTTCTTCGCTTTTAATCGGTACAACAGCGCCTATAGGATCCATATGCGAAGCGCTATTGCTAGTAGTGGTTGCTGTAGTTATTGTATCTGTTGTTGTTGTTGTTGTTGTTGTTGTTGTTGTTGCTGCTGCTGTTGTAATAATCGTTTGTTCAGCACTATTTGAAGCTTCCATAGAATTTATAGGTATTTCAGTCTCGACAATTTCGTCGGCAGCAGGTACATTAAATATATTTACATCAGGTATATGAGGAGGTTTTCTTATAGTTTCAGGTTCTAGTGTTGTGGATGTAATGTCATCCATACTTTCTAATTCGTTAGGCTTAGGTAATTGTTGTACATCTTCAATGGCACTTTCAGTAACTAAATGTGAATTAGCGATTCCAATATCCAAAGCTTCCGTGTTTGCTGGAAGTGAGGTATTGGGATTTATAAGTTTTTTTTGCGTCTTTTCAAGTAATTTTATATCACCGCTTTTTAGTTTCTTATCTATAGTCAAATTTAATGGTAATTCTCCTTGTTCTTCATTTGTTGAATTTTCTTGCAATGCCTCGATCGCTGTTTTATCTAAATTTCCCCTTATGGCTATTAGTTGACATAAGGCTCCAACGTATTCAGCTGGCAACATGTTTACGTAATAACTTTTTTTCATATCTTTCTCGACCGAGTGCCTCGTATTTGTTCCAATTCCATAAAGTTTGCTACAAACACCCGTTGTCAATAAATCATTTTTTAATTGGACATTAAGTAGTAAATGTTTCAATTGGTCAACTTCGCAGGATAATGCGTTATTGATACGCTCCACCAGTATATTATTACAAGCGGCACAATTGAAATATCCATGCATTGGTGTTTGACATATCGCAAATTGTTGTCGAACGTTCGCCGTATGATTTTCATTATTAGTCGGTTTAACTAAGACTTCTGCAGCTTTCTTCACTATAGACAATACTGCGTCCGAAGCGGATTTAAAAAGATTGTTTTCTGAATTTTTATTATGAGCTTGTTCCAATAGAAAATCATCATCGAAATCGTCGAGCTCATCGTTAAGGTGATCTTCAGTTTCAAAAGCTTCAAATTCCGAAGTGCCAAACACGCGAAATAACGAAACTGGACAAAAATGTTCTTTGGAATAATGCGAGTGTATATCAACGCGTACAAACTTCCCAAACAAGTGCGGATGTAATTCGAAACTTTGCACTGTACGTTTATCTTCGGCTATAAAGCGTCCCACATTCGACCAATCACGTGAGGGAAAACGATTTGAAACCGCTACTGTAAAATTTTTGGGCGACGACGAGAACAATTCAAAATTGGCCAAATCGATGCGTTGAGCTTGTATAGCTTCGCATAACTCTACAACGAACCATATACGATTGCCACAAGGACTTAACATGTACTCGTCCTTTGACGAACTAAGAACTGCTCCTGTACTAGAAGCATCCGCATTCGATGATATAATCTTGGCCCCGCAGTCAGGTGATGCATAATTTTTAGATCTGATTTTCATTAACGGTATTTTGCCATTGTTGCTCGTATTGTTTTTACGTTGTGCGGAATTATTAAAGGTTTGCTCTTGTTCGAGAGCTTGCTTTTCGGCTGCTTCCATTTGCTTTTGAGTCCATTCAGAAAATACCGGGATAGGAATTTCCTCGGATGAAAGGTTCACTTGTTTTAATTTAACAACGTTCTGACTAATATTTTGCTGCTCAATTAAATCAGGTTTCGCTTGCGGTTTCGATAAATTTATCTCGGCACTATCATTAATTGGACTGGTTGGAATGTTTTCGAAATCTGTTGCGGAAATTTCTTGTATAGCAGATGGCGTATCGCCAACTGTTTCGATATCACCACCGGAATCATTGATTTTGATAATTTGCTCATCTTTATGAGGAGAAGAGAGGAAAAAAAAAGAATGTCTTCAGGTTAAAGAGATATGTAGTTTAGGATAGATACTCTCCATCAAGCAAATATATAAATTTTATATTTTTTCTTTGGCTAACTCTTTTCCTTTGGCTGATATGAACAATTTTTGGATAAGGAATTCGTCAGATAGGCTACGAACAAAATGTTTCCGAAATTACGGACTATTAACTACTTTAGGATATTGCTGGATATTTTAGATTTTGTTTAAGTTTTTTTCTGATGTGGGCGCTATAACAGAAATTCAGGGATTGAGAATGCATTCTTGGGGAACTTCTACGCATAAAATTTCATTACATCGTCTAAGTAATCTAAAAGTGGAGAGTGCGGCAGGCCCACCGGAATGTTCTGTCCATTTTTTAAAATATAAGAAGCCCTAGTATCTGAATATGCTCCGAAAAGGTTTAGTGAGCTGAATCAACCCTTTCAGCGAATCGCGACATCGTCAGAAAAGAATTTTTCCCTAAAATGTTCTTGAGAGTATCGTCGTCGATCAAAGATGATCGGTGGCCCTGACAATGTCTTATCAAAGAGTTCGAAATCATCTATTCGAAATTTGCCGAACAATTTTCTAAATGTTCTATTGGAAACTGCATCTCCACCAAATATTTTCAATAAATTTCTACATTCTTCTGTTCGATCGTTTGCAGAATGCAGTTTCGTCACGGATCACGTCTCACTTAACGCTAAAATGAATCATTTTCCTTTCGTAGTTCATTATTTAAGTCAGTATGTATATATTCATTGATAAAAAAGACAGTCCCAAATATGCGCCAAATGAAAAGGCATATTGAAAGTTGTTGCAACCGGAACGGTATGTGTATGCATATAAAAGTTTTGATCAGAGTGAATTCATTGATTAATATCCTGTGTCTTCATCTTTACGACCTAAATTACGATCTTTCTAAAATCTAGCTCTTAAATTTGGCAAAGAAATCTATGAAATTTCACGGACAATTAATATTATTGGTACGGTCATCACACAATTAAAGAAAGTAACAAAATAATTATTATATTCGTCCAAGGCTTTGCCTGTTAGGTTTATCGCCTTAAAAAAAAAATTTGAAAAAAAAAAATATTTCCATGCTCTATAACATTAGAGAGCGTGGGTATTTTTGCCCCTTCACGACACCGAAAAAAGCAGAGGGACGGACGGATGGACAGACGTAGATCGATTCAGAATTTGATAATGATTAGAAATGCTTTATAGAGACCCCGAGACTTTCTTTTCACAAAACGAATGTACCCATCCCTCATCCTTCGGCGCTGGGTTTAAGAGAAAAAGACATATTATTCGCTTAAGACCCTGCCGTCTAGAGCTAACGTTAGTACATAATATTGGGAGATTGTGGCCAATTTCGCCCCTTTACGCAACCAAGAAAAGCAGAGGGAGGATTACTTAATAGCGTTTTTGAAAATTCCTTCTGAAAGATTTAGACCCTAATCCTTCAGCGGTGGGTATAACAGAACATCGGACAAGTTATATATTTACTCGATGAGATGAGTAGTAGAAAGTGCGCCAGAAAGTCGAATATCTTTCTTACTTTTTTAAAAGTCTAAAGTTGTCAATACCTTTTAATGTTTCCTGGCTGCTGCCCTCGACAATGTCACTTGTTTGATTAGTTCTATCATCGGCGATTACCTTAGTTTGCTCATTGCTGACGATAATGGAGTCCAATGGTTTTATTGATGGCAAAACCTCTATTGGCAACTCAGTTACAGTAGCCATTGGAATTTCATTGATATCAGGTAAACTGCAATAAAGAAAAAAAAAAAAATTAATTCTATTAATAAAACATTCTTACAAATTGTATGAAAATTTATTTAAAGAAATTTTGTTTTTTTTTTTTTTATTTAAGTAATTACCTTAAAAACATTGTTGAGATGGCTAAAATTTGTGAAAACCATATAATCCAGAAGAAAATCAAAAACATGGTTAAATTCGTTTTGATTTTCTTAAATTCACAGCTTACAAAATTCGTTAAAATTTGTATAAACATTTTTTCAATTAAAAAAAAAAAAAAAAAAAAAAGGATTTTTTTTTGTGTTTTTGTTTTTCTCTTTGTATTAATAGTAATCAACAAAGACGAAATAATGCACTTGAATAGGAGAAGAGAAAATAAAACTTTTTAAAGAGATTATAATTCTCCATGTTTCATAATCAATTATCGATTTCTACGAGGAGGAGTTTTTGACTCTACCATCAATATCTGGTTTATTAAGTTAACCCATGTCATGATTATATTTAAGTAAAATTGAATATAAGTCACGTTTTTTCCTTTCATGCATTTCTAATGCCAATAAAAAATTTAATATTTAACAAAACCAACAAATCAATATACATTTAAATAAACCTACGTAGAATATTTCAATATTAGTTGCGATATGTGTGCTACCTATGTCTTAAGTATTTTATTTTATATTGAATACACGAAACAATAAAATAAAATAAATGAAATGCTACTCCACTACCTACCAGAAGTATTTAAATTAAGCATAAAAATTAAAACCAATATAAAAGGGAACCTCCTTTTAAACAGTAAAAAGAAAATAAGTGAATACAACAACAGCTGAGTAAAGAAACTTCATAACTGCATAATACAATACAATATTTAAAGGTTGTCATCAAAGCTTTTCGAATACGTTAAGAAAACTTGAAAACTTTATTCTTTATTCGTTTTTCATATTTAGGTTTGTTTATCGATCGATGATTGTGAACATCTAGAAGATTGCATTACAAACCAGAAGCATGTTTTCACGTGAATATGCGCTATGAGATTAGTATAATTGTATGTGTACGAAAAAAGCACAAGTTGTCTTCACATTGAAGGATTCGAAATTTTATGTCCGTTAAATGCTGCGACAAATTTCAATGTAAATTTTTATTTTAAGAAATATATAATTGTATAATTGTAGGAATAATTTATCTTTATCTCATTTATTAGTTTTATTTGCTTGGCATATTTCTGTAACTTTTCACATCACATATGAATTATTTCTATAATGTTCTCTTATATTCTTTGGGTAAAACAGTTGGAATTCTTAAATACCAAATAAACGCTGAAAGGAAGAAAACTTGCCGACAGTTCGTACACATTTACTTACTTATACATCATAGCGCATATTTACTTATTTGTATACCGTAGCGCATGTTCACTTAAAAACAGAGAACTTACGCTTACTTAGAAACATAGACTTGTGCATGTTTCTGGTTTACAAAGGTTTGAGCGAATGTGATTTCATATTAGGAAATTATTAACAGAATCTTTGTTTAAAAAAATAAAGGGAATGAAACGGCAATCAAACAAATTGCTGGTAAAGGTTTAGTAAAAATTGTTCCGAAAAGCAAAATTTGAATTTGTTAAGCAGATTTGGAAGATATTTTCATATAGTTTTCTAGAATGTTCAAAGAGGTATCTTACGATTATTAATTTGGATACAGAATGCTTTCTAGTCTAACTGCTAGAACTTTATTAGGAAATTTATAGAGCTCTATTAAGGGGTTTGGTATGTGTCTTTGCTACTTAGCTACAATTGAATTTACCTTCGCAGTCTTTTTTTATTTTTTTGCAACCGATCTGAAGACATGCGATATTTTTGAACTGAACTTCTCTTAATATATATTATAATAGAAGTAAAATGAAAAAGAATAGTCTCCATCAATATTAACTAACATATATCTAGTTTTCTATCCACATGCACATATATATATCTATTAGGTGTTCGCAAAAATTTTGACCTACAGATAACAATGATCAAGAAATGGGAAATACTGGCGTACCTAATGGTTAAATTTGATCGTTTTGGCCATCTTCCACATAAAATAACAGTTTCCTATTTAATATCACTGATTTATTCAGCGTACACCGACGCTGATCAAAGAGTGGTCGAAATTCTTTTTCCAAATACATTACCTTTGTAGTTTATCTGTTTTCGAAACCCACTACACATGTTCATAGGCTTATGGTGACGCTGCTCCATCATATCGCAATTGTCGGCTTTACGAATTGGCTGAAAATGCCTCGTTGCTAGAGTTGTGTAGGATGCAGCTTAAAAGGGAAGTTCTGCCGCACACAGCGTAGTCATCAGACCTGACGTCTCCTGCTTAGCATTTGTTCAGATGGGTGCGGCAGGCGGGTTCGCGAAGCTAAACAAGTTGCGAAAACGGTCAGGTGGGTGCATCGCTCCGAAACCAATATAAGTTCTTTCGATATGATATCGTCATGTTGCAAAAATTTTGTGAAATGTTGTAGAAAATGATGAAAAATGCTGTAGACTTTTGCAAACACCTAATGTATGCACTTAATGAGTTTCTGCATCGAATTAAGCCTGTCTGTCCGGCTGTCCGATATTTGCTTGTTTACTTATGTATTCAGATTTTCTAGAGGTTTGCACTATTTTCGGGATATTGCGATCAAATTTCATGCATTGACCTGGTTTCCCGCAAGGAGCAGGGACTGATTGTAATACTATACCTCAAACAATGTTTTATTTTGAAAAGAGTTTGTAAGAAGAATTTTTTGCTTGGGCCTACTAAATAAACGAAGAAAATCAAGAAAGGATGTGATCTTCCTCAAATCCACTTTCCATAAAAACATTATTGGAAAAAAAACAAAATAGTTGTTTTATGATAAAATGATGAGTTTACGTAAAAGGTTTATTAAGTGATGTTGCATTTAAATATAACTATCAAAGACACAAATCAAATTTGCATCGTTACTTATATGGTATTATGTTAAGTATTACAATTTTCAAAGTCGCATAAAAAATATTTCCCTACATAACTGAATATAATCTACATATCGTTGGGAAGGTTATTAAAACAGGATTCATTCCACACTAGCTTCATATTTTTTTCGCAGGGCATGGTAGCTACTTAAACTATGGCTATTTCAGTCTCATTTTTGAACCAGTACAAAAACTTTTTCACATCATGTTTTAACTAAATAACATAACAACATATTTTGTTTACAATGTTTGTTTAAAAAATTTTTGAAAGTTCCATTTTATCCACATTTTGATTTAAATCCTTCGCAGACTTCTTTTACAGAATTCTGTCAATGGCTTAGTAGAGCATCGGAAAAAAATTGTGGTTTGTGTCTTTGTTAATAATTCAACTTTATATCCTTCAACATTGCCGTAGTTGTTGCATTTCATCCTAGTAATTTTTTTAACGGTAAACTTCTTACTTTTCTTAGTTCTTCGAATTGTAATAAGCGTAGAGGCGACATTGGCCCAGGCCCGGTAATCATTTTTTAATTAATTGCAGATGTCACATAAGATTCATTATTAAATGTTTTAAGCTTTTTTTTTTTTTTTTTCTTATTTCGCTGGCTTTTATGCGCAATTTACTCTGGTTTATTTCGTATTTAATGTCAAAGCAAAGCAATGTTAGAGCGAAGCAAATCTTCAACAATTAACGTTAAATCGCCATTTTTACATAATAATAATTTTGCTTAAGATATTAGATATCCAAGATTCACTACAAGGTCAGAGCATAGCATCTCTCTTCTTGTTCATACGTATCAGTAAATATTCATGTGAAGCACAGTTTTTTTTTGCTCTTTATTTCTATATTAGAACACTACCATTGTAATTGAATAGCCCAGCCAGCTTATTGTTACTTAGGAAACAATTATTAACTAAGAAGAATTTTGAAGATAGAAACGTTTGGACAAGCAAGCCTCACGTTTACAGAATCCACATAGAAAAATTATATGCGAAATTCATGATGGCGAGACTAAGCTTAAAATGCTTTTGAAAGGTTGAAAATATTGTTTAAATTCATTGTTCAGAGAACCAGAGAAACTTTTTTGTACAAAGAAGCAATTGAATGAAATGCAAAAAACAAATTGACTTTGAAATAAAACTATTTGCTTAGCAATTCAATTAAAATGTCATTTGGATCAATAATTCCCGCGAAGAACTTAAAAAGCGTAAACAAATAGATGCGATGTTACTTAATACAATTATTTTATTGTCTCAGCACCTATAATATATGAATAAACAAATAAATAATAATAGTAATAATAATAATAATAATAATAATAATAATAATAACAAAAATAATAATGATAATAAACAAAAATTATGTAACTTGTGTATTGTTAATTGGACTAATACGATGAATATACACATACATACTCACGCACAATAATTAACAATGCGAGAACAATGATTGCAAAAGACAAACACAACACAACTTCTAAACTGGAACAACAAACACTTGTTAAATATCATTTAACAACAGCGAGTACGCAATAGCGGTTACATGAATGTTAAAGGGAAGCGAGAGACGAGCAAAGACAAACACGAGTAAACAAAACATTTGCAGAACTGAATGTATATCAGCAGATGTCTTTCATTGGTGCAGCGAAACACATGGATGCGTACATGAAACAGTACTGCGTACGTACGCACGTATGCTTGCACATATGCATGTATGTTTGTGCACATATCAACGTGCATTATGGTTTAAGTTTTAATTATTATTCATTTAAAAATGTTTTTGTAACTTAATTATGATAAAAACTAAACGTTGATAAGTAAAACAAAAAAAAAAGTGCACACATTTGTTTTATTTATCTACGCATTCATGGTGTTTATCATCGGGGGCTGGATATATTAGTTTTCGTATTTCATAAGCAATATATATGAAAAGGCGGTCTGACGGGTTGGTTTTTCTTCTTTTTTTTTTCTTTGAAATCATACTACTACGCACAACATAATCGTACACATCGAGGTTGTGTGTGCATTACGTTGCTACATTGGCATGAAGCTTTAAAATCCCTAAATCTGTTTTTTTTTTTTTTTTTTTTTTTTACGGGCTTAACTAGGTCTTTCAAACCTTTCAGAGTTAGAGAAGAAAAGGGAAAGATTCGTTATTTCCAACAAAATTTTGCTTTGAAATTATAAGCTTTTTTCCAAAGCAGTCGAAGAACACTGCGTGTGTCAAATGGAATTCTTCCGGGAAGTTAGAGCCTTCTTGTTTTTTAATTTC